TCTCTCGTCTACAGGTCTCGATTACGGGGCTGCAGGGCGCTCACACAGCTGGGGCCTGCATGCGGCGGGACATAAAAAACAGCTCACTACGGAGACGCTCCATCCATTCAAATCCAGTCATTGTCCATCGAAGTTTGAATATGCAAACGAGCCAGCGTCGCACGCACAAAAAACCAATAACGCAGACCAAAAAAACACGCCGGATGGAAAAATGCGCTCAGATAAACTTAGATGGGATCAGTTTTTCCGCCTGCAGCTGTACAACCGCCCGGTGAGAGGGTGCGATTTTTTAATTTCAGTTCGAAATGCGGGGCAAAAAAGCGATTTCTTTGGCAAGCAACTGGCGTAGCGTGGGTCGCGAGAGGACTGGTTCATTGTCGCCACGTATCGGCCCGGTGCGTTTGCGCTGCCGACTGTCAATGCCATCACCGTTGGGGCGCTGCACGCGCATAGCTTAGCCTCCACGGCAGCTCGTGCGGCCGCCGGCGCGGCTGACTAATTGTTCCATGTAAATCGGAGTGATTTTAATCTGTCACGGTGGAGCGCGCGTCTTCAAACACATCGGCCCGCCGCCAATGGAAAGCATGCGAACAAACCAGGCACCTTTGTGGTTAGTCATAGGCACTTAAGCATTAACTCACGGCATTTTCCGAAACCGCAAACTTTAACTCTGAGACGCGTATGGAAAGGCATGCTATTCAGTCATTTCAATACAGAAACGTGGTCACGTGTTTCTGTTGTCTTGGAAAATACAAGTTATTGCTCATTTTCAATCGCATTTTGTCATCTATGAATTTGTCTCAATTTACTTGTATTTTAGGAAGAAGGATAACACAAAGTGCGATGCTTTCAGATGTCCCTGCGCTGCGTAAAATTGGATACCACCCTGCAAATGCCGCCCTACTTAATAAGTGTCACAATCTGATTCTCAACACGATGTCCCTGTGCCCAAGTAGGGATATGGATGCAACGGTAAATGCCAACATACCTACGATTATATTGGAAACCAATCCCAGCACCTTAGGACAAGGAATAATAAAGCAAGACAATAAGATCTTGACCAGGAGCTTCGAGAAATTTATTGTCGTTTCTCCTAGAATAATGCATTTAGGCTTCTCAGCAGTGACGACGGATCTCGTAAGACGCGGGGAAGGGCGAAAATCTTTTCATATAGCTTCTTTCTATTCCACACCAAAAATACTAGCTTTTTTAGAATGCAGTTCTTGTCACATTTTCCTTCCCGTTTTTCCCTTTCCGTTTTCGCTTAATGGGAACAGGGTGCCTCAATCATGACTTGATATGACTTGTTGCATACTGTGCAGTACGTTGGCGATAAAGAACATAAGGCCAATCATGCGCCTGTCAAAAGCCTACAGCATCTGCCCACCTCCGGCCCACCCCTCCGCTTCTGACAGGCGACTCGGCGGTGGCTGGTGTCCGGCCCGTGGCCCAGAGACCTTGTCAGCGTTGTGACGGACCGCTTTGTCCCTGCGTCGGTGATCGGCAGGGCCAGGCCGGCCGTGGCCGACAATGGGACGCCGCCCGCCCGCCCGCCGGCCGGCCGCCGGCGCGTGGTTTTTACGCTACGTCTTTTTTGTGAGCGCCGGGCGTTGTTTTTTGCCGGGCGCCTTATCTATGGGGGCTGGAGCGGAGGCGGCCGCCGGTGAGGCCGCCAGTCGGCTGGCCGCCGGCGGTGGAGGCGCGTGGCGCGCGCGGTCGAGCGGCGCCCCTAAGGTTAGCGGAGCGGCGCCCGCGGCGGCATGCCCACGCCCAGCATGGAGCCACACGGCGAGTCGTCGTTCCCTCGGCAGCAGCCGCGGCTGGCCCGGCCGACGGGCCGCCACAGCGATGAGGCCGAATCGCCCGAGCTCGCCCCAGCTGGCGTCGCAGGTGAGGGACCTGGGGCTGACCCCGGGACTGGGGCCGGGACGGACCTGGGGTGGCGCCGGGACTGGGGTCGACTCTGGGGCAGGCAAGGGCTCTAACATGGTGATGGCACGAGTCCTGGCGCTGACCGTGGGGCAGTGTTGTTGTCGCTCTAAATATTTCCTTTTTGTGACTGACCAAATTGGTGCCGTTTGTAAAGTCACAGCTACATATTTCAGGATGCATATTGCTAACGGTGACGTGACTTCACACAGGGCCACCATTTGCATACACCAGCTGTCCTTGGTCTGGGTGGTAGCTGGGCCGTCGCAAGGTGTTACAATGGTGACCAGTTTCCAAAAGTGTACCATTGGCGCTTCCAGGGCGAGTGCTGGCGCAGCTCTGGGTCGCACAGTGCTCAAATCCCATCGTGGCCACACCGCGCACTTTGTTTCACGTGTTACCCGCCCTGGTCGCAGAGATCTGACATCGATCTCCCAAAACACGCTGAAAACCGTACCGATCGATGGTTTCACGATCGGCCGACCGCTCGCATCGACCCATGCGTCCGCCAACACGGGTGTCGTGCCTCTGTCCGTCAAAACGTGAGGTCTCTTGTGGCTGCGAGGCCGGGCCATCGAGATCGGTACCCGTCCCCACCAGTGTTGTGCGCCTCTTCGCGATATTAGCAAGCTGTGTGTCTCTCATAGAAATGCAGTGGGAAATGCCTTATTTTGTTCACCTGACCATTTTGCAGTGGTTTGCGTGGAGTTGACGTAAAATTTGTACGGCACAACGTCCAAAAACTTAAGCCCTTTTTGTTGCTAATCATTGCATGAAAATGCAAAGTGCCTGTAAAGCTAGCAATTTCTAGACGGTATGACGACGGTACGGAGCTGCTCAAAGGAAATATTCTCTCACTGTTTAAGAAAGGCCCGCCAGTCCTGTTGTTCCGGGGGCTATCATACCCAGGGCAACGAGCGGGCAATGAGCCCCGTCGTGGTAATGCGCCCCTACCCCATATCTAGACTATTTATAGTTATTGATGTAAACTGAGCCTGCCGGATTATTTGAACTTTTGCGGAAACTGCTGTGTCATTTTTGTGAACGCCTGCTGTGAATGGCGGATGAGGGGCGGTGAAGGTAAGTTTTTAGGCGCTAAATAGAGTTTTTCCAGTTAAGCTGATGAACCTTCTTGCACTTAACATTCTTAACTTTATTGTCCAAATATGTTACCTAGCAAACAAGACAGAGGGCTTGCTGGCCTTAGCTTGGAAAGAAAATTGAAAAACCTGGCGCATGTTTTTCAAATGATCAATTTGCATCATGACAGGTGCGGTAATGCACCTCGCTAGTAAAGGGCAGTGCGCCCCCGGGGAGTGCTTTGCCTTGTGGAACCAGCAGGCCCGCCAGACAAGCGAGCATCACTTCATAACTACACAAAGAAGCTCCGCACCAAGGCAAGCATGGGCTGCAACAGGCAAATGCTAGTTTGGTTATATTTCCGAGCATTATAGTACATGTATCAAGACTTACATCGCAATCACGATGTTATAGCTACCGTCACATGCTACTGTTAAGAATTGACTTACAATGATGGTGGCCTGCGTACGATTTAGATTAGGAAGGATGAGATCGTACTTGGGAGTCAAGGGAGTACACGTGAAGAACAGAGAGCTGTATCAGCCCATATATTATTGACCCGGCAATCCACTTGACTTGGGAGTCAAGGGAGTGCATGTGAAGAACAGAGAGCTGTATCAGCCCATATATTATTGACCCGGCAATTCACTTCGAAACCGAACTTCTGCCCTTTTTGTCCTTTTTATTTTGCATTCTTAAATTTTGGCTGGTCTTAACAGCTGATCTGGCCTGACCCCTGGCTCACAGGCGCCACTAGAGTTTTCAGAATTTGGGGCAAGTTGGCCTATCGAGGGCCTAACTTATTCTTTGATTGTGATTTCTTTTCGAATTTCAGCCATTTTCTTCGCGCTCAGCGAAAATTTGAGACACATTTGGAAAACTCTGCAATACCTTGTTAAAAGCTTGACACCCTCCACAAGCTGTTTCATGTTTTTGCGACCCCAAAAAGTTCGCATCTGTATCGCTCTTAAAGGTCTCATTCTGGCATTTGAGAGCGGCGCTGGCTGTGGGATCTCGCTCCGCTGCTTCCTTTCAAAGGCATTGCTCTGTATGCTGGGGAACTTACCAGGCTACATCCTTAACTCATGTGCGTCACTGCTAGTAGGAGCCTTTTTGTTGACGGTGCTTTTTAATCGAGAAACGTTGTTCCAAATGGTGCGGCAGTATAGCGCAAGACATCAGGACATTCAGCTTTGCAACTTCCAATCTGAGAGATGCAGCCGCGCGCGGAGAGGCGTTGGTTGCATCATCGTCGAAAAATATGGAATTCCAAAACGAACTCTTCGGCGTCATCGCGATGGAAAATTACGGATACTGGGCCGTGTCAAACTTGGCCGATACGAGACGGCTTTCTCCCGTAGGCCGAGCTTGACCTGGGGGCTCATATTCGCGATATGGAGCGTCATTTGTACGACATCATACTGCTCGACGTTCGTCGTCTGGCCTTTGATCTAGCGGGGAAGCTACACATCTGTCACCTTTTTAAGAACGGTCAAGCAGGTAACGATTGTTTGGCTGGTGTTCTGTCCTGGCATCCGGATTTATATGTGGCAAACCCCGAATCAAACAGGCAAGCAGAGCCGCTGCCTTCAACAAAGAGACTGTTGCTGAATATTTCAGGCTGCACAAGGAAGCGCTGGTCGCTCAAGAGTGCACAGCTCAACAGATCTCGACTGTAGATGAGACGGGTATCACACCAGTGTAAGAATGCAAAAAGATATTTGACCTAAGGAAAAAGGACCGTGGGAAAGTGACCAGCGCCAAAAAAAGGTCAACTCGTCACAGCCGCATGTGCCAAGAGTGCTGCATGTCAGTACGTGTCTCCCATAATAGTGTGGCCGAGGAAGAATCTGGACAGTGCCCTGATAAAGAGCACACCAGCAGACTCTATCAGGGCAGTAAGTGACAGCGGTTGGATGGAAACGCAATTGTTCTTCGACCGTCTGCATCAGTCCCGAAAGTGGACTCACAGCACCGTCTCAATTCCACAGCTGGTTGTCCTCGATGGCTTCCACAACCACAGAGCCCTGGAGGCAGTCTGCTTTGCGAAAGACCATGACATCCAGCTTCCAACGTTCCCACCGCACACCGCGCACAAGCTGCAGCAGCTCGATGTCAGCTTCTTCAAGTCTTTGAAGGCAACCTACAACGTTGGGATCGGAAACCGGCTCATCTATTACCCCGGCTAGCGAGTGGTTCTGTATGAGACGGTCGCCATTTTTGGCACCACCTTCAACCATGTGGCTGCCCAAGAGAAGGCCATCAGAGGATTCAGCGCCAGCGGATTGTGGCTGCTGAATTCCGAAGTGGTCTCGGACGACGACTTCGTGGGGTCAGCAATGGCCCGCAAGCTGAACTAAATCCAGCGTCGGGCACGGGTGGTGACAGCGGGCCGCGGAGTGCTACAGACGGCACGACGGGAGATAGGGCAGAGCTGGAACTAAATCCAGTGTCGGGCACGGGTGGTGACAGCGGGCCGCGGAGTGCTACAGACGGCACGACAGGAAATAGTGCCGAGCTGGAACTAAATCCAGTGTCGGGCATGGGTGGTGACAGCGAGCCGCGGAGTGCTACAGACGGCACGACAGGAGATAGTGCCGAGCTGGAACTAAATCCAGTGTCGGGCACGGGTGGTGACAGCGGGCTACGGAGTGCTACAGACGGCACGACGGGAGATAGGGCAGAGCTGGAACTAAATCCAGTATCGGGCATGGGTGGTGACAGCGGGCTACGGAGTGCTACAGACGGCACGACAGGAGATAGTGCCGAGCTGGAACTAAATCCAGTGTCGGGCACGGGTGGTGACAGCGGGCTACGGAGTGCTACAGACGGCACGACAGGAGATAGTGCCGAGCTGGAACTAAATCCAGTGTCGGGCACGGGTGGTGACAGCGGGCTACGGAGTGCTACAGACGGCACGACAGGAGATAGGGCAGAGCTGGAACTAAATCCAGTGTCGGGCACGGGTGGTGACAGCGGGCCGCGGAGTGCTACAGACGGTACGACAGGAGATAGTGCAGAGCTGGAACTAAATCCAGTGTCGGGCACGGGTGGTGACAGCGGGCCGCGGAGTGCTACAGACGGCACGACAGGAGATAGTGCAGAGCTGGAACTAAATCCAGCGTCGGGCACGGGTGGTGACAGCGGGCTACGAGTGCTACAGACGGCACGACGGGAGATAGGGCAGAGTTGGAACTAAATCCAGTGTCGGGCACGGGTGGTGACAGCGGGCTACGGAGTGCTACAGACGGCACGACAGGAGATAGGGCAGAGCTGGAACTAAATCCAGTGTCGGGCACGGGTGGTGACAACGGGCTACGGAGTGCTACAGACGGCACGACAGGAGATAGGGCAGAGCTGGAACTAAATCCAGTGTCGGGCACGGGTGGTGACAGCGGGCTACGGAGTGCTACAGACGGCACGACGGGAGATAGGGCAGAGCTGGAACTAAATCCAGTGTCGGGCACGGGTGGTGACAGCGGGCCGCGGAGTGCTACAGACGGCACGACAGGAGATAGTGCCGAGCTGGAACTAAATCCAGTGTCGGGCACGGGTGGTGACAGCGGGCCGCGGAGTGCTACAGACGGCACGACAGGAGATAGGGCAGAGCTGGAACTAAATCCAGTGTCGGGCACGGGTGGTGACAGCGGGCTACGGAGTGCTACAGACGGCACGACAGGAGATAGGGCAGAGCTGGAACTAAATCCAGTGTCGGGCACGGGTGGTGACAGAGGGCAGAGCTGGAACTAAATCCAGTGTCGGGCACGGGTGGTGACAGCGGGCCGCGGAGTGCTACAGACGGCACGACAGGAGATAGGGCAGAGCTGGAACTAAATCCAGTGTCGGGCATGGGTGGTGACAGCGGGCCGCGGAGTGCTACAGGCGGCACGGCAGGAGATAGTGCAGAGCTGGAACTAAATCCAGCGTCGGGCACGGGTGGTGACAGCGGGCTACGGAGTGCTACAGACGGCACGACAGGAGATAGTGCCGAGCTGGAACTAAATCCAGTGTCGGGCACGGGTGGTGACAGCGGGCTACGGAGTGCTACAGACGGCACGACAGGAGATAGTGCCGAGCTGGAACTAAATCCAGTGTCGGGCACGGGTGGTGACAGCGGGCCGCGGAGTGCTACAGACAGCACGACAGGAGATAGCGCAGAGCTGGAACTAAATCCAGTGTCGGGCACGGGTGGTGACAGCGGGCCGCGGAGTGCTACAGACGGCACGACGGGAGATAGTACCGAGCTGGAACTAAATCCAGTGTCGGGCACGGGTGGTGACAGCGGGCTACGGAGTGCTACATACGGCACGACGGGAGATAGTGCCGAGCTGGAACTAAATCCAGTGTCGGGCACGGGTGGTGACAGCGGGCTACGGAGTGCTACAGACGGCACGACAGGAGATAGTGCCGAGCTGGAACTAAATCCAGTGTCGGGCACGGGTGGTGACAGCGGGCCGCGGAGTGCTACAGACAGCACGACAGGAGATAGCGCAGAGCTGGAACTAAATCCAGTGTCGGGCACGGGTGGTGACAGCGGGCCGCGGAGTGCTATAGACGGCACGACAGGAGATAGGGCAGAGCTGGAACTAAATCCAGTGTCGGGCACGGGTGGTGACAGCGGGCCGCGGAGTGCTACAGACGGCACGACAGGAGATAGTGCCGAGCTGGAACTAAATCCAGTGTCGGGCACGGGTGGTGACAGCGGGCCGCGGAGTGCTACAGACGGCACGACAGGAGATAGGGCAGAGCTGGAACTAAATCCAGTGTCGGGCACGGGTGGTGACAGCGGGCCGCGGAGTGCTACAGACGGCACGACAGGAGATACTGCAGAGTTGGAGTCGACTCCAGCCGCACGGACGGCGGAGGCAGCGGGCTGCGGAGTGCTACAGACGGCACGACAGAAGATACTGCAGAGTTGGAATCGACTCCAGCCGCATGCACGGTGGAGGCAGGAGCAACGTCCAGTTCTGCAACACATAACGAACCTGTGGCCGGTCCTGGCGGCATTTAGATCGTTCAGAACCTGCTCCCGTTGCCATGGGCCCCAAAACGCGAGCGCCACGGCGATAGGAGAAATGCGCTGTGGTAACCTCTTCGCCATGCAAAACAGTCCCTGCAAAAAGAAAAGCCAAGGCAAAACAAAAACAGGGACATTGGATAAAGGCAAGAGCGGTACAGGAGAGCACGACGCGGGGTAGACACTAGGTGCCTCGTCTGTTTTATGTTGTACCGCTTGTCTTGCGGATTCTGGATTCGGCGCATAACGTGCACAAAATAGGCGAGTGAACCATGCACTGATGCCAACAAGGGGCAACTATCTCATGTGTATGACCTCTGCCGGGAATAGAGAGCAGGTTGAAGAACGACGTACGAGCACCGTTGTGCCAAAGCTTCATGTTTTTTTTTGTTTTTTTTTTTTGCTGCGTAGCGCTAGTTTCAATGCCTTGTGACCAGTTTCGACTTAAGTGACGCTTTGAAAATTGCTTTAAATTGTGACTTTATCTACGTTTTGAGCTTTGCGCTCATCGGATAAGCATGTGAAACGCTGCGAAATGAACGAAGAACGATACATCACGGGCCTTTACGACATGTAAACTGGACACCATCAGGCAACAGAGGGTTATTAAAGGGCGAACGATAATTATTTTGCCAGTGTATGTGATATGTTCATTGGACATGTCACATATGCGTTAAGAATGTAGGTATTTCACTGAAAACACTGCATTTGGCGCTTTTCATTCATGTCTATTTTTCACAAAAAAACTCTGTATAAATGGCCTCTATGCCTTCATCATGAGCTGGAAGCGAAACAGAATGCGCACATGAATATCTTAGCAATACGCTATACGCCTAAATATATAAAAGTCATAGCAATACACCCAGACAGGAGAATAAACTTCTGGGCACGGTATTGTGTTAAAAACTTATATAAAAATATTTCAGCAAGGTAGGTACGAAAGTTACAAACCTCAACAAAACCAATGGTTTCATACACGCAGCCAAGTTTACTTCGTCGTACCCCACTCAGTTGTACACATATTCATGCTTAAACATACGATGCTTTTACTGAACAAATTTTACATGCTTAACCAGGATGCTGGCCGGGAATATTTCCTTGTTTTCTTTCCTGTGGGCGGGCATAACTTATCACATAAAAGTACAACCTGAGTGCTTTGAGTACTCAAGTACCTGAGTTTACCTGAGGTAAACTTTTGCGCATCTGTTGTGCATAACAATTTTACAAATTTCCTTGATGCGTCCATTCTGAATCTGACCGAGAAATGCGCGCCGTCTGCATACAGCCGTGGCCGCACCAGCCGCCCGTTTTGCATGCGTGTTCGCTTTTCTGTGCTTCTTTTACAATAAGACTAACTACACCCAATGCGAAATGCGGTACACAGTGATAAGTCGCGACACGGATCACGACACGCACGGTATCTAGGACATGCGGGACGTGTTGGTCTGTAGGCGTAGTTTGTTCCGGACAATCAGACCATGTCGCAGCCATGTTTGTGTCTGCTCTTCATCGCGCCATAGCGAGGTTTGTTTTCGTGTATGGTGTTTGCCAAGCGAGTTCACAGCCCGTGCAGTGCCCGGTCACTGGCCTTCGTGTTGTTTCAGTGTCTTGACATGGACATTTAGAGCTCTAGGTGAACAAAAGACATCTTGCTCCTTGGTTGAGAGGCTTGATGAATAGTGTCACGTCCGATTTGGGTGGATGGCGCTTACAGCTACCAGAATCAACCCGACTCTGAATAAGTGTCAGGAGGGCATGTCAGGTGATAGTATGAGCTGAGAAAATATTCTTAACGAAGAAAATGAGGACTATTTTCTTCCTCATGACACAGAAAGAAAGCTGCCTCGGAGGCTGCGGAAACAGGGACGCCAGAGGGGGGGGGGGGGGGGGGGAGGAAAAAGAGAGAGATTAAGAGGGAAAAAGGGAGTGATAGAGACAAAACCTCATCAGAGGAGAAGCAGATATCGATTGGAATCAATACACACGGCGATTAGCAGCAAATGCGATCGCTAGCGAGCGATGGAGTGAGCTCACATCACTCCTAACGGCAACAAACCCACCTGACACGGCCGCTGGGGCGACGCGAACCTTCCGAGTGCACTCCGCGAAGCACGGACATCATCACACTGGGGCCGGCCGGTCCCATCGGCTCCACGCACTGTCAACCGGGGTTATTCTCAGATGGGTCTGGTCTGGATGCATACCTCATACCATACCAGCGTTCCGAGCTTCAGTGACAGGTCCTGCAGCGTTCCGAGCCTTCAATAACAGCCTCTGCTGTGTCCCGAGTTTTAGTGGACAGGTCTTGTAGCATTCCGAGCCTCAGTGGCAGGCTCTGCTGTGTCCCGAGCTTCAGCGACAGGTCCTCCTCTGTTTCAGACGGGATGACATTCTTACCAACCAACGAGTCCGAGCTACAGCTGTATCGTGTGCTACAACATGCCAACCTTGCTCAGCTACTACCACATTTTCATCAGCCAAGGTAGGCCTGGCCTTCAATACCTCGGGCACGTAGATGACTGTATTAAATGCGCCGGCCGCCGTCGTATGCCAAAGGTATCCTGCATGTTATCACAACAACGTTTTCCGAAGCTTCTGACCGCGTGGTCTGTATGTCTGGCAGCGGGGTGCCAATTTGCAGCCCCGGTCCGCACGCAGCGAGGCACTCAATGTCCCATTGTGCAGGACCGGAGGGACGCCACACGCCACGGAGTACGCGGTTGTGTATGTGTGTGTGTGGGGGGGGGGGGGGATATAAGCGCAAGGCCACTTAAAAATGTTGTGTCTTATCACAGCATTCACGTTTGAAACAATTTCTCATTTCATGATTCGCTTTTCACCCGCTCCTGTTTTGCCTAAATTTGCTCCCTCGTAGGCATGAGCGCTGTTGAATTGTCGAATTTTGTTCAAGACAGATAACGTTTGCCTGAGAACGCCATTTTGAGAACGCCAGGTTGAGAACCCCCGAGTTCATTAGGCATGCCGTACTTTCCCATTTCAAATGTCGTGTTTATCACATACCGCGTAGCGGGCATTGAGGCTGTGAAAGGACATTTCGCAGCCCGCGTCTCGTCATGCCGCGGAACCAAAGCAATGTGACTGTGACTAGAAGCACAAATGTACATTGCCACACATCTCCTTTCTGGTGTGCAGCTGGTCACGTAGTGTCGCGTGCAATGCGTGAATCGGATAATATAGCACGTGCTGTTTTGGACTTTCAGAATTTCAAGTGAGACGACTGAAAATGGAATATGGCTGGTTCGGCTCCGAATAAAATAATTCGGATAAGGTGGATAGATCGGATGCAAACATATCTTTCGATAATCAGGTACAACGCCATCCAAAATCCAGACCACGAATTACAAAAAATCAAACGATACCTTGAAACAAACTGGGTATCGCGCAACGCTGGGCCTCTAGTCATTATAATTTAACATGTATAATATTTTTTTTTTTAGAAAGTGCACGTGCTTTGCAATCTCCAAATTCTGACATCAAGAAGGCATGGATGCCAGCATCACATTCAATCAGGCAAGGCCAGTCACGCCTTGAATGGGTTGAGGTCAGAGCTTGACCGAGGCGACTCGCCGGGCACTCCCGTCTCCGCCACCAAGCCGGAATCCACTGGCACGTACAGATCTTGTACAGGCAGAACAACCGAAATAACAAGAACAAACCGGAATAAATACTCTCCTTGCAATATTCAAGAATCATCCACCAAGGCGTAATTACCTATTTAGCAGGAGGGGGCTTCAGCCCTACCTCCCCCCCCCCCCCCCCCCACCCTAACTTGAAAGAGGGTCAAATCCGGGGAAATACACGTTTATTGATGTGTATTGAGGGCAGCTGAAGTGATTTTTCTTGCGCAGCCTCCTCAATTTATTGTTTGGAACTGCACCCCTGAGCTTCACCAACTCTCCTCGTTGACGGCTGCGGGCTCCTCTCCCGCACGGATCGTGTACCGGGCCATGACACGCGAGTCGGGCGCGCCGCGCCCACGCGCCCACGCTAGCCGCTGATTGGTCAAGACCGCGCTCAGGTAGCCAATCAGCGCCGGCGGTCCTCAGAGCCGGCTCGGATACGCTCGCCGCCTGTGTTGTTGTGGGATGAGATGCGGTGGAGATAAGACATGATAGTAAATAAATGCGAGTCTGCGTTGGAGCAGCTGCCTTACAAGGACACCAGCCTGCAGAAGCCCACTATTTATACAATGCTGGACGGGGGTAATCCACTGTACAATGCGAAGCGATCCGGCCTGGGCTAGTCACCCTGGTCATTCACTATGCGTTCCGTTCATGACGAGTGCTCACTTGTAGCACCTATGTGCAATCATGAGCGTAATACCTTAAAGCAGCATTTGATTGCATTTCGTCTTCGAACAACAGAAGTGAAAATATCTTGCGGTTGATTAAGCGTGAGGCAGCACTGTACAGTTGCCATGGACACCTGCATTGGTTAATTCTCATATGCTGCATCGTCAGATAGCATGTAACCTTTAATTACTGAAGTTGAAATAACTGGCTCAATAACTGTTAAATGAGAGCTATATCGCGTGCATCATTCGCTGGACCGTCATCGGATTAACTAACCATCGAAGCAAAATTTGTAGACGTAATTACACCAATATAACTGGGACATAACACCGTTGTAAAGCTATCTAGCCCGCCACTTATTCATTACACACTCAAAATAGTCCGTTATTTTCCCGGTCGTCATCCATTCATGCCAGCATAACTTCTGCGAAACATAATTCACTCAGCACAAAAGTACTGACTAATGAGGGAACGAGTGGGCACCACTGAGAAAGAGCACCAGTACATTCAGGTAGCGTTCAGTTTAATGGAGAGGCCCTAACCCAAATTAAACCGCGAGATGTCTCTGGAAAACAAGCGCTTGCCTAGTAGGGCCATGGGCGTGGTGCCTGTTTCTGAGACGCTCGCACGAACATGGGTACCTCAGCGTGCATGCCATTGTTTCTATGTGACGTCACACACTCCTGACGTCACTGTTTCTGTGTGATGACACACTCCCGACGTCATTGTTCTTAAACAGGTGGAGATGACGTGCAGCAACTCTGTGAAGCCGGAGAGGAGGAATTCCTGGAGATCATGGCCCTGGTGGGCATGGCCTCCAAGCCGCTGCACGTGCGTCGATTACAGAAGGCGCTCCAGGAGTGGATCACCTCCCCAAGTACGCGTCGAGCGAACAGATGTGCTTTCTGGGGGACTGATGTGGAACAGCTTATCTAATGAAATTGATTTAGTTGTAAGCAGATAAGTTTAAGTGGTGAGCGATTGGAAATTTTCTATTGGCATGCGTCGATAAGCTTCACAGTACAGTGTATATCTATTAATTCTATATTAATTCTTCGAGTAGCAGGCTCTGCACCAGGTCAAAAGCTCGTGATGTATTTGTACTTTGAAGCGTTTCCCGCCAACAAACGTTTGCAAACATAACGGTATAAGCCAAAAGTTTGACGGAGAGCGTTGTACCCTATCCACTCCCCCGTGGCAGAATAAATGTACCTGGGTCATCTAGAAGCTATCTCCCGACCCTACGGTGACCTTCAGCACATGTTTACAAGCCCTGGGTTTAGTAGTCGCATTGGTCCAACGTTGTTATGCACGCGTGACGAGAGCGTCACACTCTTTCCGCCAGGACGACTGCACGTACCGGTAGTCCAAGCCACCCCGGCCGCGCCTGCAGGGGTCCCGCCAGCGAGGGTCCCGCCGGCAGGGGTCCCGTCAGCAGAGGTCCCGCCGGCAGGGGCCCCATCTACGGGAGTCCCTCTGGCAGGGACGTCTCCGGCAGGGGCTCGGCCGCCAGCCGCGCCCAGTCCCGCAGCCCGAGATCCGCTCCGAAAACAGGACGAGCCGCCCTCGCCTACCCTCTCACAGGTACGGACCTCCGTGCCGATGCTCACCATCTCGCAGGCATGGACCGCCGCACCAGAGCTCACCCTCTCACAGGTACGGACCTTCGCACCGGAGCTCACCGTCTCACAGGTGCGGACCGTCGCACCGGAGTTCGGGGCACGGAGCATGCTGCAGGAACTCATGGACCATATTCACCCAACTTACAGAAGCTACCTTCTATTTCATTGGCGTTTGGTGTGCAGTGCACATTTCTGCGAGTCCTATGCGTGAAACAATTAAGATATACCGCGCACAAAGCGCGAACAGGAGGGAACACTGTGCTCAGCTGCTGGATACAATCGACAATCGTGAGAGCCAGCCTATCACAATGCCAGTCCCTGTAGACCGATTCAAGAGGCATGGACCGGCTCCGCGGCAGTGGAGGACACCCTGTGCCCCCCTCACCCCCCCCCCCCCCCCCGACCGACCCGGCGGGCGGCTGACCGGGCGACCTTCCGCAGGACAGCGGTGACTCGGCGTGGCCCCGCGCCGCCTCCGCGGAGCCGTGCGACTCGCCGCCGCCGCCGCCGCCCGTGCTGCTCGACTCGCAGGTGGAGCGGCTCGCCGAGTCAGCCGTCCGCCTCGCCAAGACGCTGCCGGACTTCGAGCCGCGAGCCAGAACAGCAAGCGCAAGGTGTGCCGGCGAAGTGGAGGTGAGTCGACGAGCGGTCAGGACACGGCTGGGTGCTGAAGTCAGCAGCGTCTGTGCTAGCCCGAGAGGCTTCAGTCGCCTTAAGCGGCATCTGTTGCCCGTAAGGTCAATGATATACCTGCATGCAACACACACACCACACACACACACACACACACACACACACACACACACACACACACACACACACACACACACACACACACACACACACACACACACACACACACACACAACACACACAACACACACAAAAACACACACACAAACAACACACACACACACACACACACCACACACACACACACACAACACACACCACACATATATATATATATATATATATATATATATATATATATATATATATATATATATATATATTCGCAAACACAATATTATAGATATATATATTATATATATAATTATTATAATATATATAGCGCAAAGCCGTTCCTCTTGGTTCCAAAACTTATGTGTGCTACAAGTTCTACGGATTTGAGCCATGCAACTGTTTCATCGTGCGGCCCGCCACCGTTTCCCAATTGCCTTCTTTGTGTCGCTGGCTGCTAAATGGGAAATCTCTGTTGTACATGGAGCGTGTAGCATCCGACACCTACTCGTGACTTCAGATCCTCCCACCCACGTCTATCTTTCTCTCTAGCGCGAAGCTGCCCCATCTTACGTCCCACTTTCCCTTACGCACTATCGTTGCTCTTCGTTTGACGCCTATTTCGTCGATCTATGGTTCACTTGCTCCAAGTAACCGTCCACCGCCAACCTCCAGTCTTCAGCTCACCTCTAAGTGGATTACTTTAACCTCCACGCCCCGTGGTCGACCTCTGCTCGTGCTCCGCCTGACCTCGGCCCGCCCGCAGCAGGTGATGAGCATGGAGGCCGACCATCCGCAGCGTCTGGAGAAGTTCCGCAAGTACGCCGCCATCTACGGCCGGTTCGACTGCCGGCGTCGGGCGGAGAAGCCGCTCACACTGCACGAGGTGAGGACGGCAGAGGCTGCGGCAGTCTGTACAGTCTATGCGGATGGCAGCGAGGACCGTGCGGACGACAGAGCGGCCGTGGAACTGCTCTGTGCTTTTCGCCCGGTGCTGGAGGCTGGGGCTTTCAAACTGGGACACGTCCGAGCCTCTTTGGCCTGTGTGCACGAATGAATAATGTGCTACAGGATGCGTGGCAACGGCCTTATTTAAGCTCATTTCCACCTGCGCTCAAATAAAGACATTTCTGGCATGTTGCCGCTGAAAGTGCGCGCACTGGCCACTTTCCCCGCACACAGTTTGCTTGCCGCTCTCTCCATCCGTGAGCATATGGACAGCTGAGCGGGCGCCGTGTGACCTGAGCGGTAAGGTCGGCGCCGTGTGACCTGAGCAGCGAGGTCGGCGCCGTGTGACCTGAGCGGCGAGGTCGGCGCCGTGTGACCTGAGCAGCGAGGTCGGGGCCGTTTGACCTGAGCAGCGAGGTCGGCCTGCGGCAGGTGTCGGTGAACGAGGCGGCAGCGCACATCTGCATGCAGGTGCCGGCGCTGCTGACTCGTCGCGACGAGCTGTTTCCGTTGGCGCGCCAGGCGGTCCGGCATTCCGGCTACCAGTACTCCAAGGGCCACTCCAGGTCTGTGTCACCCCAGGCAGGCGCCGGCGGCAAGGCATGAGGGAGGGGGAGCAAAGGGGACCTTTCAGCCAGGAGGACCCACTTCATAGCTAAAGTGGCCGGGGGGCGGGGACGCAGCTAGGATTTTGTTAAGAAAGGGGAGGCTCAATAAGGACGCATCACGCGGATTTTTTAACTTTCTGCCAGTAGCCATCTATGGCGAGAAATGAACAAAATGCAGGTCTTGGAGGTGGGGCTCTTGGCTGTGCCTGTGATATGGGGGTCTGACTTTAATTCGGGAAGCTTTTTAGGCTCGTGGTCCCATTTTTCTGCTTCGAGGATTCATTGTGTGTGTATCTGAAGCCCTACGGGCGCCTTGGATTATCGATAGCCTTTGGGTCTTTCGCCCCAGGGGACCGCGCTAACTCCAGAGGGGAGGGGTATGACCCAGAGCTCTCCTCCCCCTTCCCCTTTGGCTACGCCACTTCCCTTCATAACGACTCGCGCCTCGACATGGAGCTGGGCGCATGCTTTTTTGGCAATCTCGTTTATCAGGTGTGCACTCATGATGAGCACGTTCGAAGCTTTGAATGCGATATTCTCTCGCCGTCTCAAAACCAACAGAAATGAACAGCTGTGTGAAAGACTGCAAGAATCACGCCGACGTCACTACTGAGCTCAAAGGACCCATTCTTGCCTGAAAAGGCGACAACAAAACAGGTCCACAGGCCCATCGCATGAGTCATAAGCAAATAATACTTTTGATGGCTCCTTCTTTGTCCGGTGGAACCTGCTTGACGGAAAGTGGGAATCGCACCTGAAGCTCGGATATGTGTAACACGATATAATGGGCAGAGAGGTATTTCGCTAGTGGCTGTGAGTTGGTGTGTGTCGGGCAGCTGACGGGCGTCCGCCCCGCCTCGCTCAGGTCGCAGGGAGCGCAGGGCTTCTCGCCGCGAGAGTTCCGAGTCGGCGAGGAGGCGGGCGGAGTCAAACGACTCCGCCTCGACTCGGACCCACTGGCAGAGGACCTGTCGGACGGCGATTGGCTGCACAGACAGGTAACACGGCCTGCACTGCACCACCTTCAGGCACGTCTGCAGGCACACATTTGCGCGCGCATGCACACGCGATTAAGGCTGGCATGCTTACTTGGTTTACATGCGCTGACCTGTACTCTACAGCTGACCTATATAGCTGACCTGTACTCTCGCCTAAACGACCTGGCCCATACTGTCACCACCAGGAGTTGACCTGTACTGTCGTCTCCAGGGGCTGACCATTACCAACACCGCGCAGATGTGTCATACACGGTCGATGTCGGGGGCTGACCTGCACGACCACCGGCAGGAGCGGCTGCAGCAGATCTCCGAGGAGGTGCGGCGGCTGCGGGAGCGGGCCGAGGAGACGCGCGCCGCCGCCCGCCGGCTGGAGCTGGCTCGGGACCCGCCGGCCAGCGCCCGGCTTCAGCAGCAGCTGGACCAGCTGCTGGAGCAGGAGCGGTGCTTGCTGCTGGAGCAGCACGGTCTCGTCAATCAAAGCAAAGGGTGAGGTTTTGTCGTCCGAGGCCGCAGCATTGGCAGCGGGACCGGCCGTCCAAACGCTCGCCCCACTGGTGCGATGTCCGCGAGACGTCAGGCTACAGCCAGGCCATCGATTTCTACCGACTCGGATTGGTCTGGTAGCACGGATCATCAGGTCTGCACTGTCTAGCGCTAGGTGACAGCCTGCTTCGTGGCCATTGTGCAGGACTGCACACGGGCTGGTCACCGTGCGCCGTGGATAAGGGATGATTTACATCAGTGATGAGCGCTGGCAGTCTGTACATTTTCCCTAGTGATACGCTTGGGACGCAGAAAAACTGTCCGGCAACCCTCACACAGGCTACCCACGTTTCTAACACCATCGGCGGGTTGGCGCGAGGGGGCGCCGGGCTGCGGCTCGCGGGGAGGGGAGGGGGCGCCTGGTAGCAACGCGCGGGACGGCCCGACCGGTGACGTCGGAAGGGAAGAGGCGGCGCCGCGTCCCCCGCGGCCCGCTGCCGGCGGGTTAAATCTGGTCAATGCAGGGGATGGCACAGCAGTTGATACAGACGCAGTGGCCGACGGCTGACACGCGGGCACGAACAGCGCGAGGCTGCTGGTGTGTTTGTGGTCAAACACACCGCATAGCATCAGGAGGCATAGTGTCTGGCTGATCAGAAAACCCGAGACGTGATTTGCCAGGAGGCGTGGACGACGCCTGTGTGCGGTTAATAGCCACGCTTTATGCCGTGTGCCACAACCGTTCGTGAGTTTGATGCTGGCAAGCCGCAGTCGTAAGTTCATCGTTAGCCAGCTGACGGAGGGAAGGGCGATGCGGCGCAAAAAGACGGCACGGAGCCAACACAGGAGGTGCATCCTTTGTGTGGTTTGCTCCGGCCGTCTTTTACGCTTGTGGGAATGTCATCCGAGTAGTAGGTGTCTGATCACGTCACGTTTTCTTGGCGTGCCAGGGACTGATAAAAAGACCCAGAACAGTAGGTGCTGTGACTCATTGAGTCGGGTCCGGACGGGGCTGGCTCGATCGGGACAGCCTTTAAAAGAATAATGCCCAGGAATTATCCAACAAAGACCATTGTCACCTTGAGGTGTCAATGCTTCCGGAATCAACGCAGATCGCCAAGTTCGATCCCCGTTGCTATCCCTATCAACCCTCATCTTCCCAAGCGGAACTCTTAATGATCTGATCTGCGGGTCGGGTTAGTAAGACGTATGTACGTGAGTGGTACGGGTATCTCGCTCCACATCCCTTGGATGCGATTAAATACGGATCAGTTGCGCTGGGTTTGATATTGAGCTCTTAATACCGTTAAAGTGATAAAAATATATCATGTCGGTTTGAAAGAGTACAGGTGGCGTGAACGGGCAATCTTTTGGTCCCAGTTTTGCACTGGAAATGCGAGCTTTTGTCCCCGCATTTTATGACCATCTCAGCACTGCGCGGTCGCACATTTGGTGGACCCTTTCCCATCGTTCCAGGTATCAGAGGCAGCTTTACGACCTCCAGGAGAAAATTTGCCCAGTAAGCTCGCACCGTCAAAATAGAAGCCTAATTTTTATCAAACGGCGCCGTTATCGCCGCGGTGCCTCCCCATTTACGCGTCCAACACACACTCGCAGTTTACGATTGGGCGTCCGTTGACGGCTGTGCGCCGGCCATTGTGCGCCTGCTGGCACGCCGGGACACCAGGCGTGGGCTCCGCGGCCAGCTGCGGCGGCGGGGTCCCCCGACGACGGGCACCGGCCCACATGACGTCGGTCTCCAGCTCGCCCCCCCCCCCCCCCCCAGCACACGCTGCGGTGTCATTGACGAGGCTGGGAGCTGTGTGTGGCACAGACTTGTGGATGATCGTAGGATTATGTATGCTAGTTTTGAAATGAGATTACGATAAGCATTCATCATGTGTTCAGACAGATAAAAGCGATTGTAATTCGATATGTGTTCTAACTAGTAAAGGTTACGAAAGGTCAGGCCCGAGGATAGCACGCGCGCTTCTGTCTCTTCGTTCGCCAGCTGACTGATTGTCGGTGGCGACGTTGTGTAAGGGCAACAGCAATGGTCCAGATGATGTGCCCAGGCCCGTTCCGTTTCTGCCAGGGCTGAGGGACATGTCCTTTAACGCAATCAAATGGTCTGTGCAGAGCATCGATTTTCAGCCAGCTTCACTGATCATGGCATGCGAAGACCGTATAGCTGATGCAGTCCAGTTCAGCAATATCGATAAAGCACTGCCACATGACAGAAACGAACCCTTCCTTGCAAACCGGGCTACATGTCATTTAGCCTCATTAAATATCATCATAACGAAAGGAAAATGTGAGCTGCCAATGTAAAATTCAATTAGTCAATCAAGGCGTGCCCTACGGGTTTTGTGACACGCGAGTTTGTGGCTCGGACACCAGAATTGCCCGCGGCACTGACACGGAACTGATTAATACCCAAGCGGGCCTCGGCCGTGCCATTTGTGGCCCATCTGAATCAGATCGGAGTTGACTGAATCTGAAACATCGAAGTGCCAGCAAAAATCCGATACTTGTACTCATCTCCATTTGGAGATTCGTGCGTCACCTCACCGGTCATTCTCGCGAAAACCGTTTAGTCCTACCGGTAGCCGCCGAACCAGACCTGCCATCATTCCGTCCATGGTCTCCAGACAAAAATCTTCAGCTACGGTCTCACGAAATGCCGCAAACCACATACAGCATACCGTGCACGTGATATTTACCTCTGAGATTATGGTAAATGCTTGCCATGGTTTATGGTATTGTGCGGTAGCGCCAGGTGCGCCGCTCAGTGCTCGGTGCGCCGTATGATTGACGACAAGCTGAATCAGAACTCAACGAACCAGATGACTCATGCCATTAGACAAGCTGCTACGGGCAAGCTGTGCTCCTCGTGACTAGAAGCATGCCTGTCATGTGATAGTATGGCACTGGCTGGGGCGGAAGGACGCCGCAAAAGGGGGAGGACACACTAGGTCAGGGGTTGAGTGCGTCAAGTAGTTCAATAGGACTAATGTTAAGTTTTCATGGAAAGTGGGGTGACACGCCCTCCCCTTGTATCTACGCGCATGGGACATACACCAGCGGTACCTCCAAAGTACACCGAGCTTTCCAGCGCCGCTGCCGGTGCATCCCGCTGGCCGGTCGCCGGCGCTTCATCACACCGCCGCTGGACAGCACGTAAACACCGGCCCAGCGCGGGGCCGGACGAGGAACGGCCGCCGGCTGCAGGCAAAAACGGCGCCGGCAAAAAGCGCCGCACGCGGTCCATGAGCGGCAGTGCAGCACATAAAACTTCTCGAGTGCAGCTTTTATCTCCAGCAGTCCCGACCAGCGCGCTGGTAAAAACATAATTTGTGACGAGGGAGATGGTATGAATTTGAAGTAAAAACGGCCCCCAGCGCCACTTTCAACAACGAGTGACGCTCAGTCAGCTGCTGGACCGCAGCGTGCAGCCCTGTCGTGTTTTGCGGCAACTCGAGCTTTATATCAGATGCCAGTACGGATAAGACGCTGCTGCCAGGCTACTGATTGCATTTACATGCTCGTTCATCCAAACGGTGAGACTCCCGTTCTCTGCTAGTGCAATCCACTGTTGTGGCTTGTTATCTTAAATGCAACTATCATTTTACAAATTGCAGCAGATGTGGGAAGTGATGCTGTCTGTTGATCGTACCCCGACATAATTCTCGCGGCGGTGAGAAGCGTTAAAAATTCCGTGTACTTGATGAGCTGGCTCCGCATCGTTGAAACTGATATGACCTAATGCAGTGACAGACGCGTGATAATAATTGTTGTGATGTTCCTTAAGACGTCTGAACCTATGTTCATCGGACTTGCGGTCTGCAAAAGTCATCTTTGCATTATTTCTTCGCATTCCGCGCCATCGCAACAATCGATATGCCCGAAAATCGTGGATTTTCGACTTCTCTAAAAAGCGTTGCACTCCATTTGGCACATCTCGGATGCTGGACGGGTACTCGCCCCTTTGTTTACTGTACGATTTGTGCTACATTATTGCGTACTTAATCGTAGCATTAATCCGTGCCAGTTCAGAGGCAGCAAATCTTGGTGATCTTTGGGCTCGCCCCCAAAGTTGACGCTTTCCGTTTGTCACTCGTTCGAAAGTGGTGTCACTAAGCTAAGTTGGGATTTCACAACCTCCCGCTTTGTTTTGTTTTTGAATTGGCTCTCAAGTCTCAATACAAATATACAGTGACCAACGGACATTCCTAGAAGGGGGCTCCATGGTCCACTTTAGGTCAGGTCAGGTCAGGTCAGGTTGGCATTGGCCGGCATCACTGCTTGGCCAGATTCAGCGCAGTGTGACTCAGCACATTGTAAGAAGCTTACGCATAAAGCCGGCAGACATCCGGTGCTGGGGATTGGTGCGCGGAACGAAACCACCGGAGCTTAACCGCTCCTATAGTAACTGTCAAAACAGCGTGTAGGTATACCGTTGCGAATGTTTCCGCTGGGGGTCGCCTATTGCGGGCGGGGTGCTGCACCAGCGCCGGGCCGGTGAGCCCCGTTCCATGGGCTGGACACAGGCCGCCGCGGTCGGAGTCGAGGCGGGACGACTTAACAGCCGGGTCCGAACACCTGGACGGGACACGCTGCCGGCAGAGTTCCACTGCAGCCGGACCAGAGCTCGGCCACACGTGGTGCTGTGTCAACCCGGAGCCGCTACCGGGGTCCCTGCATCGCAATCAAGCTGACTTGACCACAAGCACTGCGCGTTCAAAGCAAAGACGCGCTGTTTCCCACACATGCACTGAGTTCGCCTGCATTTTAGGGTGTCGATTATGCTCAGCGTCTCAAAAGCACAACACAAAATACAAATTCTTACGCTCATCGGTGACCTACACTGCCGATATGCATGCTCAAATGTACATAAGGCACATAAGCACAGCTTTGCCTCATTCTTTGACGTGCTGGACGCATACGTCGCATGCATGACGCTGTCACGGACTTCATCGGCATGGTCGGGATTGCGCATGCGCGTTGGCTGCCCCCCTTGGCTCGTCAGCTGACTGTGATTCGAGTACGTGCTAACGAAGCATTTGCTCGTTAGGACACCCGCTTCATATAGTGCGTCAGTTTGGCGCATCTGAGGACGCACCATCGCGGCGAAGCAGGTTCGCCCCGCTCCAAGCATTGCTCCTGCGCCGCCATATGACGAGAGATGACTACTCTTGCGCAAACTAAACTTGTGTGCTACAAAACGAATAGGCTCAAGCCAGAGTTGGGACTGGAGACAACACGACCCAGACAGGAACTCGTGTATTTTTTTCCACTGCACACAACCCCTGCACGCAACGTCCCTGGACTACACCCTGCACGCTGACGGGTCAACGCAAAAACGTGGTGGTCAGACTCTCCCGACGTGCCCGAAACGACACAGAAAATAGGCTGCCGCCGTCACCCTGGCCCTGCGTCCATCATTGGAATGGCCAGAAAAACCACTCGCAGTCAGACGGGTAATATGCGAGCAATAAAGTGGGGCTGGCGTGTTGTTGTTTTTGCCGGTCAAAAAAGATGCGTGTAATAGAGGAGATGCTGGAAGCACCAGCGCAGCAGTGGTCACTTTTGCCAACAGTTCCCAGCCTCAGTTTCTTAAACGATTGGGCGACTCCAGCGATGTAAGAGGGACTGTTGGAACAGTTTCTTCCCAGCACACCTATCACAAGCCTAATATCAATAAATGACCTCCCAGTAGCGGGGACCATCCACCGAGCCCAAGACCAGCCGACCCAGCCGGCGGAGCGGAGTGGAGTATGTTGTATTTGATTACATTGGCGATGCTGTATGAACTAGCCTGGTGTGGAGACCTGACTAATCAACACCGTCGCCCTGTCCTCCAACCAGTAATCGTAGATCCTCTCACCCCTGACCTGGGCCGGCCCAGCCCAGCAGCTCAGCCGGGCGCCCGGCGTGGTGTGCCCCGTCCCTGACCCAACCCCTGACCCTAGAATCGTGACCCCTGCCACAAGGCGCCGGGCCGGCGGGCGGCCCTGGCCGCTCGGCGCCGCCGGCGACGCCGCCGCAGGCCGGCAGCCAGACCGCCGGCCGCGGCGCGCGCCGTTTTTGCATACCTACGGCGGCGAGTTTTTGCGTCGCCCGGTCTGAGCGTGCTGGATTTGAAAAACGGGCCGAAAAACTGACAGCAAAAACCTATCGGGGGCTCGTTATGTTTCCTGTTGAGACCGTTACACGCATGCGAGTTTTGGGAGCGTACGTGGCGGCTGGCGGGACGGACAAGACCCACCGACCCAGCCGGCGGAGTGGACAAGCCCACCAACCCACCGACCCAGCCGACAGAATGGACAAAACCCGTTGACCCGGTCGGCGGGGCGGACAAGACCGACTAACCCGATTGGAGCGGCCGGGAGACGGTTGTCGAAGCGTCACCTTCCCATGCTGCCATCCATGCTGTTCACGAAGGCGTTCATTGTCCGACCATGTGAATTGGCAGAGAAGATTAGATCCCGCGTGCAAGTCACATTCATTGCTTTCAACTGATCGTGAGCCGTTTCGGAAATGTTTAAAAATCTTACTGCTGGACGGCGACTTGTGTCTGCTTCAGTCATGTGACAGCAGGCGTCAGCCCTCATACATGCTGGGTCGTGCTGTCAGCCGAGATGACCGGCGCTCGCCACCGTTCCAGATCGTACAAAGCCTGTCTGGAGCTGGACGACGACGACTCGCAGTTTTCGCTGGTCAGCGTTCCGTCGCCCGCGGTGAGGCAGCTGTGAGCCGCGCGTGCTCCCGCGCCGGTCTCGCGGCGAGCACCTGTCTCTGGAGCTCGGCAGCGATCTGGCACCAGTCTTCCGCAGTTCGTCAAACCGCTTTTTAAATTATAAGTGCGACCTGGTTCGATCCGTTGACGGATGCTTTTTTCAAAACAGATCGCATTAGTCCACAACATGCCAGGTCAAGTGAACATAAAAAGTCGGATGTAACGTCAAGAAATGGAAACATTTGCGACCTTATGACATGACGTTCAATCTAACATCGGGCTCCAGTACATTCATACTGACTCATTGTTGAATAATATCCTATCTTAGCTGATATAATTTAGTTTCCGCCTTCTCCAGTCCAATTATTGATTAACCCTTCGTCTATCGGCCGTCATTTATGCAGGAAGTTAGGGCTGTCGCCGAATGATAATATCTAACGGTGTCCGTGTGGTGCCTGTTGACTAGCAGATCCTCATTGATTCAGCGATCCCTGCTCGCCAATGATTTAGTGATTCCCGTTCGGCTCTTTTCGTTCTCGACCTGAAAAGCTGCCCATACCCGGGAAGTCCAGCTCTGGGCTGTGCCTGGCCTCTGACGTCCAGCGAGCGACCGTCCCGACTGAGGGGAACAGGCTCGACAGAGCGACGCGTGCGTCGTGGTGCTATGTGCGCATGCTAACCCACGGGCGCTCTTCCCACCGGCAGGACGGCGGTGCGGACGGCTCGAGGGATGGCGAACCCTTCAATGGTCACGTTGAGAGAACGGCCACGAAACCGGTGGGTCTTGGCGCCGTATGATCTGAACACGTCGACGACAGCGCTCTTTTTCTTATTGACATAGCCAGGTTTTTCGGAATGAGGCCACATCAAATCTGATGCTTTTGTGTCGAGCGCTCAAAATACATATCTTTGACAGTCACATTGCCACTAGAATGAGAAAGTGGCAGGGGCGTGGCAAGTCATTATAAGTTGACGGGTGGCAAAAATATCTTCTAGACACGTTTTTGACGACACAGACACGTAGACACGTTTCAGACACGTCGCCGCAGATCTCGAACTTTTTGCAAAATTGTCACCGAAATCCCCCTCAGGCGCTTTTCAGCCTTCTGTGATTTTCGACTTAAATGGCGGCCTTGGCAAATACCCGAGGCATGTTGTCAGTGAGTCATTTGCAAAGCCTGTCTTTCCAGACGAGTTTTCAATATTCCGACGCCCTCCGCAGGTAGCTGGCGTGTCGCCGTTCCCCGCAGTCACTGCAGCTAACCCAACGCTCACTGCCGCCGCCGTCGCCCAGCCGCTGCCTCTGCTCAGCCGCGCCAAGACGGAGAGAGTAAAGCGAGAGCGGACCCAGTCCGCCTCGAGCGGCGGCTCTGCCCGCTGCCAGGCCGACTGACACGCGCTCTGACGGACCGACTGAAGCGCCGCCAAGCGGCCAAGCAGCGACACTCGTGTCGGACATGTGATATGCTTCGCGGGCTGGCGCGAAGGCCATCCAACGCTTCATTTCTACACGGCTACTGCAGAGGACGAAGAAAGCTGCCTCCGCGCGTCGTATGATGTATGACCCAATGTTAAGTAAGGCAGCAATTTCGCGCTGCCGAAACGGTCGGCCAGGCTGTTCTCAGGTCTCGATGGCACTCAGCCCCGCACACTGTGCAATGCTGCTGCTGACAGGAAGTTGTCTAGCTGCGCATTCTGGCCACTGAATGGTCGCGAGCGTCCAGAGAGAGCTTAGGAAGTCTGCCTATCGAATAGGCGACGCTATGATGGATCTCCTGTGTGTTCAAACCGTGGACGGGCTGTGGACAGCGGAGCGTGGAGGGGTAACTCAAGACGACCACGGTCCGCCAGACCAACCGGGCCTTGCCGGCCCAACGACAAGCCGTTGGTGGAAACAGCTCATCATTGTAATGCACGCATATTGGCTGCTTTAGCGCACTACTGTTCTCAGCATTCCCCAGCGCTGCTGAAGGCCTGCTGTGCCCCCTGCGGAAGGCCACATCACAGCACTAGCGCGCGTAGTCAGGTACCGGTCCAGAATCAAAACAGCTGCTCAATGGCGTGTCGATTGCAGACCGAGCGTGATCGCCGGCCGGGCCTCAGCGGGAGCTCCGTGGCCAGCAGGCGCTGGCCGGACCAGCACCCGCGCCCCGGCCGGGAGGGCGCCTGCCACCCAGCGCGGCCCCGTGAAGTCAGATGCCGGCGTGCGATCGAATCCTTAGAAGATGAACTTCCAAAGCCGTTCAGTGGCAGTGACCGTCATTTGTACTGTGCGAGACGCGCCGGCCCTTCCATGCGGAAAGCCTGGTGTGCTGGTGAGGGGACGTCCTGTCTGACAGGCGCCGGATGTACATTACGAGCGAGCGATGAAAACAATAAAAGTCCAGTTTTTGTGCCGTGCAGGTTTTCTTCATCGCAGTGATGAAATAAGGGCTTGGTCTGCCAGATGCTTTTCCTCATGGAGTTTGATTTTACTGACGCGCGCGCAACTTTGATTATCGCTGCGTGGATAATAAGCGTAACTGTCCACCGATGGGTATGAGCCCTTACCAGATCGGAGCAAATCACCACTGAACTTGACACGCCCCGAAAACCCAACAACTAACCACTAGCAGGTCAGGTTGTGACGCTGCCTATTAGGGCTTTCCACCTCCTTGTCTGACCGAAGCAGTCATACAGCGAGTCCAATTCGACAAAAAAAATCAGTGATCCCCTCCCCCCACTGCAACACTACCAACGGTCGTCTACGGCCAGACGCCTCGCACTGCATGTCAAGAGATGACCAAACGGGGTTTTGCGAATTACCGAAGACGAAATGACGTGAAAAACAGTGTTATCAATGTGACCTACGTATTTGGTGGCATTGCTGTGAGGTAAAGGGCTTTAAGGACTTCACATGCACACGCGTGTGTCGGTTACACGCGTAGCGGAGCGAACCCGAGCCCTCCTAACATAACGCCCCCGGCAGTCAGCGCTGGAGGTTCAAAATGTCAAAGTACGAGGACCGCTTAATACTGAACTGTCCACCATTTTCGTACTTGGGGGCTCTATGAATCTCAATACCGGGTCTGAAAGCACCTTGCAAATGAACATGAGAACGTCAGCTGTACGGACAGCAACTTTGTTCACGCACGGCGATGAACTTAAAACGAGAACACGGATGAGAAATCTGGCGCGTGGCAAATTTTAGATTTTTCTTAGGTGATTAGTAGCTTTACCCATTCCACATTAACAAAATCCGTGGATGCATTCCACAAACTGGTCAATATATCAAAAAAGCGATATTTGTAAAATATTTATGTCAATTTCCGTATGTTAAAAATGTACAGGTCCATTCTACATGCACAATTAATGAATAATGAATACTGAGCCGTCTCTCGCGATGCTGCCTGTACAACAAGAACGGTGAACATGGTACAAATTGTCAAAAAAAATCGCGCATCATCTCAAAACAATAATCTCCGAATTAATCCTTTTCGGCACACAACCGGCCAGAGCCAAACAGACACCACAACGCGTCCGCCAGCAACGATCCAGCCAACGCAATCGTGTCGGCACAAACAGACGAACGGCCGGCGCGGCGGCGGCCGCAGGGCTGGTCGGTTCGCGCCGCCGGCACCGGCCCCAAACAGCGGGTAATACTGTGTGCAGCAGCCCGCCCTAAACAGATCGGGTCAAGCAGAAGAGGGCACACGGAGCAGGCGCGGCGGCGGCGACACTCTGCAGGGGGCGGCCGCGCACCGCCGGCGGCCAGCACGCTACGGCGCCTGCCGCACACAGCACTCGCAACAGCTTCTGGCACCACTAGTCAACAACAGCTACGCGCGCTAACAACATAAAATATCGCTCTTATTGCACCATCACAGGACGGCTGCGGCCGCGCGGCGTGTATGTGTGTTTGTGTTTGTGTGTGTGTCAGTGGTACCAGCTGAACTGGCCCGTCTTGATGCCGCCCGGCTGCCCCATGGAGGGCGGCAGCGGCTGGGCCGCCTCGGGCGCCCCCGGCCCGCCGCCCATCACCGCCATCGGACCGCCCTTGTGCACGTACATGCCAGGCGTCGCGCCGTTGTTGTTCATCATGGGCTGCGGTCCGCCCGGCCCAAACGCCATCGGGTCGCCGCCCATCACGGCCATGTTCATGTTGGGGCTCTGGCCGCGCATCAGCTGCGGCCGCGGCCCCATCTGCTGTCCGCCGGGCACCATCACCTGGCCGGCCGGGCCGCCGCCCATCGCCATTGGGCCGCCGAACCCCGCCTGCATGGGGCCGCCCATCATCGGACCATTGGGCACCATCATCATGCCCATTTGGCGACCCATGGGGCCGCCGTGCCGCGGGTCAGGCCCCATCATGGGGCCACCCATCGGCCCCCCGGGCCTCATCATGGGGCCGCCGGGACCGGCCATCGTCATGTTGTTCGCCGCACTCATCGGTCCACTCATGCTCATGCTGGGGGCGCTCATGGGACCGCCCATCTGCGCGCCGCCGCCCATGGGGCCGCCACCGCCGCCGCTCATGGGGCCGCTGGGCACCGTCATCACCATGCCATGCCCGGGCATGGGGCCACCCGGGTCAGGCATGCCCGGCATGGGCCCGGCCATGCCAGCCGGCCCGGTGAAGCGCTGCAGGAAGTCGAGGCTGGGCGGGCCGCGCGGCCCGGCGCTGCCCGTCTGCGGCCGCGTCGGCAGATACTGGATCGTGTTGGGCGCGCTGGCCTTCACTTGCACGCTGGCGCCGCTGTAGGGACCGCCGGGCCGGCCGCCGCCGCCGCCACCGCCACCGGCCAGCATCGGGCCACCCGGCGACATCATGCGCGACATCATGGCCGGAGGCGCGCCGGCCAGGAACTGTTGGCCGGGAGACATGCCGCGGCTGAGGCCCTGCTTCGGCGACGAGGCCGGCTGGTGCGCGGTGCACGGCGCCATCGAGCTCATGGGGCCAGCGCGCGACGCGGCCGGCGCCACGGCCAGGCCCGGCCCGCCGCCGCCGCCGGGGCCGCCAGAGTCCAGGCCGGCCGACAAGAAGCCGGCGGAGGTGGGCGCGCCGCTGGCCGGCGGACCGCCGCCGCCGCCGCCGCCGCCTGGGCTGGCGCTGCCGCCCGTCAGCTGCTGCGACATCTGCACCATGGACGAGATCGGGTCGAACACCTTGCCCTCGGCCATGCCCAGCGGCGCCTGCTGCGGATTGAGCGGCATGTGCGCGTGGCTGAGCGGCAGGTCACGGTCGGGCGCCATCCGTCCGGGCAGCATGTCCGGGTAGGCCATGCGTGGGCTGCCCATCATCATGGGGCCCATGCCGGCCGGGCCCATGTGGCCGCCCGACATGGGCCGGCCGGGGCCGCCGGGCATGGGGCCGCCGGGGCCGCAGGGCATCATGCCGCCAGGGCCGGCGCACATGGGGCCAGCCATGGCGGCCGGCGAGTGGGCGCCGGGGAAGGCGGCCAGCGAGGCGGGCGGCGCTGCACCAGGAGCACCGTAGCGCGCCGCCTCGGCGCCGGGCGGCTTCGGGCTGGGCGCCGGGAAGCGCGGATCGCCGGGAGTGCGCGGCCCGCCGGGGCTCGGCCCCGAGAAGCGACCCTTGCCGTCCAGACTGCACGGCGTCAGCGGGCCCGACATCTGTGGGCTGGGCGCCGCGAACCGGTCGCCGCCGGCGCCGCCCGGCGTCAGCGGCGGCCGGCTGTCCGGCGCCGGCGCCGACGGCGTGAGCGGCGCTGCCGAGCCGGCGCGCGCCAGCGGCGCGCCCGCCTCCGGCGCCGCTGACAGCTCGCTCACCGGCGTCGAAGGCACACTGCAATGGGCGGGGGCGGACAGTCAGTGTCACAAGACGCGACGGCGTTCCCACTGGCACAGGCACCTGGCACCGCTGCGCGGCGCAAAAACACCGCCGCCTGGTCCAAAACAACCGTTTTCCATCACCACCACGGACAGAGCGTCACGTCATCCCGCGCATCCCCACAGGCACAGCGTCATATCCTCTGACACCCTCACAGACAGTGTCTCATCATCTCCGCAGCCCCACGGACACAGCGTTTCATCATTCCCAAGCACCTCGCAGATACGCCACGTTATCCCCGCACCCCACAGACACAGCGTCTCATCATCCCCGCAACCCCACAGACACAGCGTCTCATCATCCCTGCAACCCCACAGACTGCGTCATGCAGGGCGGGTTTGGAATCATTCGGCTGACAGTTTTTAAACGCTAAATCGAAAAAAACGCTATTCCAAGAGCTGCAATGCGATGTTGAATTGCTGACATGCATGCCACCGCCGACGGCAGGACTAGTACTGGCTAGTGGGAATTTGAATACCTACATGCGAATGCACTTGGCAGGTGGAGACTGCCAACTGTCAGGTTAAGTGCAGTCTAGTTCACTTGCATGATATGCAGTTAATGGGTCTGGGTCGTAAGTGCTAGGTAGTGTTATAGGTTTATAACTTAGACTTGAGACTGCTGGCTGGTAACAGGTCACAGGAGAGGTATTATCTGCCGCACTGCACTTCGTAGGTTCAAACATCAAACTTGTAACTAAGCACTAAGCCATGTACACCGTGTATATATATATATATATATATATATATATATATGCATATATATATATATATATATATACATACACATATATATACATATATATATATATATATATATATATATATATATATATATGCATGAGCAGTGATTAAATCTGGTCTTTAATTCAAAAGCCGCATGAGTCATGAGTCAAACGGCTCAATGCAAGCAGAGTTTGAACAGCGCTGAGTGAAAAAAGAACAATGGAAAGGCTTTCAGTCGAGAACTGGATCGGATCCCAAACCTGTGTGCCAGTCCTCAGCCGACTAAAAAGATCTGAGTTGAACGCAAGTCTGGCCACGAACAATTAAAAATGAAACTATTTTGGTTCTCTGAGCTCCGAGCATTTCATTTGATACAAAGCATCAAAAACCAGTGCACCAATGAAGCAAAAGCAGCTCGCTTCGGGCGATTGCGATATGCCCCTACCGCCGCGCGCTCGCCGCCGAGCCGCGCGGGGGCGGAGCGGGTCAGCACGCGCCCAGCGAGGCGCCACTCACGAGGGTGGGCGCACGTCGGCGTCCCGCAGGCCCGTGTTGGCCTGCTTGTGGATGGTCAGCTCTTGACCCTCGAAGTTGTTGATGTACTGTATTTGCTGAGGTGAAGGCACGGGCATCAGATTGGCTTCTGTCGCCATGTGGTTCTGCGGGAAGTTTTGATTGGCCACCGGCCGGCCGAACATGTCACCTGAAACCGTGAGCCACGCCGTCAGCCAGCCTGCACTGTGTCCGAAGCCGGCGCCGGCATGGCAACAGAAACATTGCCCTTCTGCAACGCATGACCATAGCAATGGTTGTGCACATGGCCCCGACCAGGATATGTTCAATAAAGATAGAGCTGACATAGCCGATAACTGAGAAACTGTCCGTCGCATCAAAACCAGCCCAAGACTAAGACCAAGGTCATGCTTGACTCAAACTAACACAACCATCCACCAGTAGAATCGACCGAAACCATCAGAAACAGAAACGGAAACCAACACAAACCATCGCAATATCTGCCCCAGCCGCATCCCGCAGCGTTTACAACTACGACATTCCCAGCGTGGCGGCCCCCTCCCTCTCGACACGGCACGGCAGAGGCGGCGGCGGCGGCGCTCTCACCGGGCGGCTGAAGGTGAGGAGGCGGCGGGGGTGGCGGCGGCGGGGGCGGCGCGGCCGGCGGCGGAGCCGCCGGCGACGTACTACCCGGCAGGCAGACGGGCGGCTGGCTCTGCGGCGGCGTGAACTCGGGCGCCGGCACGCGGCCGCCGGCGGCCGGCGCCGGCGACGCCAGCGACGCCGGCGTGCCCGGGTTGCTGAGGTGGCGCGGCGAGGGCGAGGGCGCCGGCCGCGGCGACGGCGCCGCCGTGCCGGCCAGCGAGTGCGGCGACGGGCCGGGCGTGGGCAGGCGCGGACAAACGGCCGGCGAGCCCAGCCGGGGGGAGGTGCGCGGCAGTGAGGTGGTCGGCGAGCCCGTGCTCCGGCTCGGACTAGACAGCGCGCCCGGCACGCCGACGGCACGAGGCTGGCTCAGCGGGTACGGCGGCGGCGGACCCTGCATCCGGCTCGGCATCATCATCATCATACGCATGTTGGGGTGCATCGGGCCCGGCGGACCCTGGCCGCACATCGGGCTGCCGGGACCCTGCGGACCCATCGGCGCACCGGGACCCTGCGGTCCCATCGGACCGCCTGGGCCCTGAGGGCCCATCGGGCCGCCCATGCCCTGCGGTCCCATCGGACCGCTCGGGCCCTGTGGACCCATGGGACCGCCGGGTTGGTGGCCCATTGGCATTCCGGGTCCGTGCGGTCCCATGTGGCAACCGGGACCCATGTTGAGCATGCCCTTCCGTCGCCGTTCGTCGTAGAACTCGCTCTGCAGCCGCTGCCACTCCATCTGGGCGGCAATGGAGGTGGGCGGGCCGCCGGGGCCCATCATCCTCTGCTGCGGGCCCATCATGCGCGGATCCATCGGCCCCATCATGCCAGGGCCCATCGGGCCGCCTTGTGGCATCATGGGCCCGTGCCCGCCAGGCCCCATGGGCCCCATCGGGCCGCCACCAGGCCCGGGGCCCATGCCATTGTTGGGCATCATCGGACCGTTGGGGCCCATCATCATGCCGCCACCGCCCATGGGACCGTTCATGGAGACAGTGGGTCCGTTGGGTCCGCACATGGACGCCGGTCCGTTGGGCATCATCTGGCAGCTGTTGGGTGGCTGACCGGGGCCCGGGCCGGGGCCAGCACCGGGACCGGGACCGGGACCGGGACCAGGACCAGGACCGGGGCCGGGACCGGGGCCGGGGCCGGGGCCGGGGCCAGGGCCAGGTCCGGGGCCTGAGCCTGGGCCTGGACCGGGCCCGGTGCCATGGCCTGGGCCAGGACCAGGGCCGGGGCCAGGGCCAGGGCCTGGGCCCGGGCCCGGACCAGGGCCAGGGCCGGGGCCGGAGACAGAACCGGGACCGGGACCAGGGCCAGGGCCAGGTCCAGCGCCAGGCCCGGCCAGCGGGCTGGCCGGCTGCGCCGCGTGCTGCTGATCGGGCAGCAGCATCTCGCCGATGCGCTTGAGCGTGGCCAGTTGCGAGGCGCGGTGGTGCCGTTGCTCGGGCGTCAGCTCCTCGTCCGGCAGACGCTGCACGGAGGTGAGCGGCCGGCCGGGCTCCTCCTCCGGACCACCGCCGCCGCCGCCGCCGCCGCACGGCACCGACGAGGTCGTCGAGAACCGGGCGGCCGGCGCAGTCATCGTGTACGGGCCGCCGCCGCCGCCGCCGGAGGGAGCGCTCAGCATGGGGCCGGTCGAGCTCGCCTGCCGGGCACGCAGAACGGCCGCGTAAGCCGGACGGCACGACAGAGTGAGCTCAACACGCACAGACGGTGCAGACACGGGTGGCGGCGTGACACGGTCCACACCAGGACGGCAGCGCCAGAGGCTACAGATCGCCACAGATGCGCCAGAACACGGCCGGGCCGACAGCATCGGGCCGTGCAGGCGCCACACACTTGGACGGCGGCGTGTGCCGTCGTGGCCGATACTTCAAGCCGGAGCGGTACCATGCAATACTAGACCTAGCAACGATATCAACACTGGTAGTGGCGCGCAACAGCGGCAGGGGGCGTGGGCCCGCCGGCTCGTCGGCAGGCGGCGACACTCACCATGCCGTACGGTCCGGGCATGCCTGGCCCGGGCATGGGCATGGGCATGGTCATGCCGGGGCCCGGGCCGCCCATGGCGCCGACGCCGCCGAAGTCGGCCGGCATGGGCGGCGGGGGCTGGGGGGCGCGGCCGCCGCCCGCCGGCCGCTTGCAGTTGTAGAGCTGCGGCGCTGACGCACTCCGGCTGAACTGGCTCAGCTTCAGCGGGTTCCGCTGTGAACACCAGCGACCGGCCGGTCAGGGCGGCACGCGGCGGTGCGGCGCGGACGGTCGGGCGGAGCGGACCACACAGCTGGCTGGGGCTGACGGCAGCGGCTCGCCCGGCGCCGCCGAGGCTCAGTCTGCCGCCGCGTCCGTGTCCGAATGCGGAGGCAACAGTAACGGCACAGCGTAGACAGCGACGGGAATGGAAGTGAGCACAGCCGCGCCAGCTGACCGGCGCGTCAGACCGGCCTCCCAGCCTCCAGGTAACGGGTCTGCCTCCGTGCGGAGGTCGGTTCTTCCCAGCGATCTCACGAGCTTCTCTAGCGATATGTCTTGTCAGGGCACCGGAAAGCGTAGAGCATGACCGCGAGCTTATGAACCCGACTGTGATCACGAAAGAAGTTCACTTCTGTTAGCCATTTAGCCATTGTGCCCAACTGATCACCACGTAAACGAACGGTCACGCCCGGGCACCATGTTGTCCGTGTAACGTGACAGTTCAAAGCCCTCCCTCGGGTATGACGCCCACGGTCGGGCGACACCCCCACTTACGTCCAGGTACTTCTTGGTGCCGGGCTGCGAGCAGTGGTAAGCGATGATGGTCGGGTACTGGCTCTGCACCACCGACTCGAACGCCCTGTTGGCCAGCTGCGTGGAGAAGACGAAGATATGGCTCTGCTGCTGCATGTACTGCGCGTCGGCCGTCATCGGCTGCTTGTTGATGACGCTCGAGGGCAGAGGCTGAGCGGCCGACATCGAGACGGCCGGCCCGCCGCCACCGCCGCCGCCACCGGCCGCAGCGGCGGCAGCGGCGGCGGCAGCGGCGGCCGCGGCTGCGGCGGCGCTGGTGGCCGGAGGCGGCGGCAGCGGCGCGTCTGCAACGGCGCCACAAACCACCGGTCAGCGGCCAGCGACAGTCGCGCACCACACGCGGGAACAATCCCCGATGACGGCGACCACAGTGCCCAACGATGGCGGCGGTCATCTTAGATGGCACCCAAAACTGACCCAGCGCACGACACAGCTGGTCAAACGACAGTCGGCGGGCGTGAGACCGACAATCAGGATCGAGCCAAACCAGGCACCCGAGGCTTAGTCCTTACATTCGTAGTCCAACACGAGTCACCACGAAAACCGCTGTCAGTCCTGCAGTTGTCTGCGAGGCACAACTGAACACCGCAAACTGGGGCCGGGACCGGGACCCGGGTCGGAGCCGGAGCCGGGGCCGGAGCCGGGGCCGGGGCCGGGGCCGGGCCGGGGCCGGGGCCGGGGCCGGGGCCGGGGCCGGGGCCGGGGCCGGGGCCGGGGCCGGGGCCAAGGCCGGGGCTGGGGCCGGGATGCTGACCCAGGCTACAAGCTCCATCCCCGTCGCGACGATAGGCTCCACTCACCAGCGGTCGGATCGGGCGCAGCGAGCTCGCTCTTGACCACGGCAGCGGCGGCGGCGGCGGCGACGGCAGCCGGATCGGCGGCGCGGCCGGCCAGCGCCGGCGGCTTACCTGGCGACACACACAGAGGGGAGGGGCGTCGTCAGCTAACGAGACGCGCTCGGCCGCCGCCGCGGTCGGTCGGTCGCCGCTGGCCGATCAATACGCAACAGCTCCGGGCCGTGAGGAGATCAGCCGGCGCCCATCAAACGGCCCGGCGCCGCGGCTGCGGCTGCGGCTGCGGCTGCGACTTGGCTCGGCTCGGCTCGGCTCGGCTCGGCTCGGCTCGGCTCGGCTCGGCTCGGCTCGGCTCGGCTCGGCTCGGCTCGGCTCGGCTCGGCTCGGCTCGGCTCGGCTCGGCTTGGCACAGTCTAATCGGAGCGGCCGCCATAGCGACCTTACACAGGCCGGAGCGGGCCGTCCCGCCGGCGCCCGGCCATGCCCCGACCATCGGCCGCCGACACCGCGACGGCCGGGGCAGCATTGGCACGTGGCGACTCCCCGTCATCCGGGACGGGGCCGCCGGCGCGGGGCTGACTACAGACCGCTGACCACCGCACGACGGTCGCGCACCGCCCGCCACAGGAATTCACTGCACGGGATATCGCTCGGCACACAATGTTGGCTTATGCTTGCAGCATGCATTCCAGCGTCCTTACGAGGCGCGATTGGGCTAATAGGCCTAAGGTCGGATGCAGATTTGGAAAGACCGCCATGTTTCGCGTCCAGACAGGCCGTCCAAGACCGAGAGGAGCTTTGGGTACCCGTTCTCCACCACGTGGCCACACCGTCACAATGGTCCGAATCTGACGAGGAAATGACCATGACAGCTGAAACACTCTAAAGGAACCCACGACCGATGTTTCGACAGCGTGGCATGGCCGCAGCTTTGCAATGCATCAGTGCATGCAATTATTATTAATCAAATGACCAAAGCTCGGTCCCTCGAGTGCTGCTGTGGATCGCATATTCCAACCCAAACTCCGAAACGATGTTTCAACCGCATTCGTACGGATTGGAGCATGGCGATGGCAAACTTCATCTACATACAGCAGAGCATTGTAACGACATGGGCATAACCTGCATATAAGACGAAGCGAAATAACGAACTACACTATGCCTTCGAATTATATATGTGAGTAGCTACATGACCTTGTAGCTTTCAATCTACTAGCCTGTTTGCTGCCAACAACTTGTAGGCTGGTGGATGTTTGAAGATCAGAAGGAGCCTGGAGGGCACGGATTTTCGGCGTCCGCCATTATCGGGTGGGGACGGGGGAGAAAAGGAGGAATGAGGAGGTGAAACAAGTACCCCACATCTGTCACTGCCGGTGCTGGACCGGTGGTTACAAGATTAGCTGTAGTTCTGGCTAACTGAGCCCTCCACCCAGCGACCATACCACCAGCGGATATCAGCGCCGGCGTCAGACTGACGGCAAAGTTTGAACAGCCAGTCTAGCACCGGCAGTGGCGGGCATAGGGGTGTGTGTCGCCTCCCTTGCCTCCCCTTCTCTTCCCTCTCTACTCACTCGATGATGGCGAACGCCGAAAATTTGTGCTCGTAGACTCCTTGTAGTCTTACTCATCCACCCGTCCGCAGGTTTTCAGCAGCAAACCAGGCAGTTAGTGTAGGGTTTAAAGGACATCTACCTACCTGCAAGTATAATGCCCTTCAATGTGACAACCATAGAACTTTCCTTCCGTATGAAGACACCGAGGTGACACACAGGGATTTTTTTAGCAGACAGGCGAATTCAACCAAAAATTTCACTTCCGTTGAAGTGAATTCGTCAACTGGGAAGGTGAAACAACTTCAAAGCTAAGTCATGAAATCTACATCAGTTAAATCCGTTTTCACTCAATCTTTTGGGCATTGGTGTTAATCCGTGAAAAAGACTAGCTCACAGACTAAAGGTTCAACAGATTCGTGCTAACCTCTGATTTTGGGAAAAGATCTTGCACATGTGCCCACATTCGTGGGCATCCGCAAACTCACGAGCTGACAAAAAAACCAACCGTCTGTTTGACAATTCATAGGATAAAAGGAGATAAAGCATCACTATCCTTGTTCCTCGCCACATTTCTACCCTGGATTGTGACTTCGCATTATTCGTGGACATATAGCGAACAGGACCTACTATCAACGGAAGCGAGTAAACGGCCCAAGGACCAACCCCGATATGCATTTCAAATAATTTGGTTCAAGGATAAGATGTACCCTAGGATCACCAGGACCATCATGATCACCAAACATCTCTCCCAATCAGACTTACTAACACTTTTGTCTCCACTGGCTGCTATGTGGCGATAAATACCAGCTTTCTTGGGCACGCTACTGCTTACGAAAAAAGTAAACTGGGCCGACAAAAATAAACTTTTGACTACAAGCGTGGAAAATCGTGGCATTTTCTCCCGATTCATATCACATTCTTTCTACCTGCTACCCGTGCTAGCCGTTTGCTCTGTAGGTTCGCTATTCCCACGTTTTGGGTTGAGCATTGACCCGACCGAATGCCAATACGCTTGAGCGTTACTGCACCGCGACTTACACACCAGAACAACGCCGTGAAGCAAAAACTACCTAAAAAGCGAGTGGTTACACTCTGTTGCATTTCTCTGGATTCGACAGCTGTTTTTTGGGAATAACGAGTGTCCTCAGAGGGAAAACGAATACAATTTTTGTTGGCAGGCCCGATCCAAGTTTAAAAGCTACTAGAGCGAAAAATGCAGCAGACAGCGCATAAATGCATCGCTTATAGCACAAACCTGATACCTCAGATTTTCGAGGTGCGAAACATCGAGAGTGAGGTCACAATTGACAAACCTGATATGGCACCCAGCACAAACCCTCCAATGTGAGTATTCTTCGAACAAAATAATTTACGGCTTCACCAAAACGGATCGCGATATTTATAACGATAAGTCTTACGTCATACGATCTTGCATCAGTCCCCACTACACTCATCGGAGGCATGTGTGGTGATCCGTTTGGTCGAAACTGATGCAATATAACACTGGATATGACTGCATCCCACCTTCCGGATTGGCAACGGCCTAGGCTGACAAGTGACCCATTCCTTCGCGCATCCACGGGCGAGCGCGCGCGTACTCCGGCCCACATACCCGCCCCCATTCATGTTGGATTCGGCCGCCCTCCTGTTCGGCGCCAACCTCGGGCGCAAAAAACCCTTCGCCGCCCATGATGGGGCGGACGGTGCGATTAACGTACGTGTGCCCCCGGTCGGCCAGGTGTGACCGCCTGACTGCCACGGTCGACCGACCCCGCCGGCGCCGCTGCGAGCGCCTCTCCCGTCCGTCCGTCCGTCCGTCCGTCCGTCCGTCCGTCCGTCCGTCCAGCCGCCGCCACCGACGGCCGATCACAAGTGCCCCCGTCGCCTCACGCACCCGAGCTGACCGACGGCCAGACGGCCACCGCCGCAGCGCCACGTGGTGCGGGGCTCAACACGCATGGAGGCGGACCTGTGACCACTATGGAGGCAGGTGCCACCCGTTCCATGTGAACCGGGGCTCACTCAACACGTGTGAAGGCGGACTAGTGACCGGCGAGGAGACAGTGCCATGCCAAATTGCCCGGAGTTGTAGATGTGTCTGCATTTGAGTTTCAGCTCATTATGTCTGTACACGTGTCGTTATTTTTGATCCGATGTCGTACCTTAGAAACAATCTGATGAAAGGGATCCAAAAAAGCAGATAAAAGGAATACAGCTACACACATTTAAAACTGAGGATTCTGGGCCAGACTGAAAACCGTTTGCTAAACGGACGACGCAGCTTGGGGAAGTGCTGACAGCGTCGGGGCCATGCTCAATAAGCTCATTTCCCTGGAGGGTCCGTCTTGCGCTCCGACGAAATGCCGTCGGATGGAGGATACACCTATCGAATAGGCATAAGACGGACAGGAGAGCCTTTTGCTCCGTCAAACGCAGCCGAAACAAATCCAGCCTACAACATCTAAAACACAATAGCCATGCCACCAGAAAAAAATGATGTCTTCTGGGAAGGCTTTTTGCTTTTGATGAACGTATTCCGAGCGGAAACAAATCGCTCATATACGCTGTTAGCAGCGTTCGAAGTGAACGGGTTCGTGGGGCCACCAGTCGTAACGCTGCAGAGATATGCGTCACAAATCTGTGGTGAAGGACGCGTTCAGCGTGCCCGCTGCCGTACGGCTTATGGCGTAATAACCTTGAGAAATTCGCCGACAAAAACGGCACTGCAGATTTACAACAATAACGGAGGACGTAGGCTGAAATTGTCACGGACTGACTGAAACTGAAAAGCGGAACAAAGTTGTGTAGCAAAAAAAAAACAACAACGGAACACTTGTTTCGTCACCAGGCAATGGCGCTGTTGTAGCGGCGTCCCACTGCGTGACCTAAGTGGTTGTCATTGATCGCGAACGATTTCAAGTGAATGGGCAACGGATGAACCAGCAGTTACGGAGCCACGGGCCAACATCTTTCTACTCGGATTTAGCTTGGCAATTCTCGGCAATTACTGTCCCAATATAGTGCGCAAAAATTATATATATATATATATATATATATATATATATATATATATATATATATATATATATATATACATGTATATATAACGCATGTATACACGCCCATATGCCTAGGTGCATACATGTGTGCGTATGCATACATGTGTATATGCACGTCGCGCACCTGCGCGCCGGATCATGACGCGCCATGGAGAGAGGAAAGCCACGGTGTTAGTCGCCCCGTCACCGCCCAGGATCAAGACGGGCTCTTGACAGCGTCCCGGCACATTCCCCGGGCGATTCCGAGCCGAGACACCACAGCAACCTCTCCCGGATCGGGGGAGAGCTCAGCGTCTTTGCCGAGGTGCGCAGCTGTGGAATCGCGCGCTCAGTCCGGCACGGCCAAGCCCGCCGGTCTGTCAATACACGCTGCCGGCGGCGGCGGCGGCGGCGGATGGCCCGCTGAGGTCGGGTCGACATTGATTTCGACACGACGGCGGCGGCGGCGGCGCGGCGCCGCCTGACCGGGCCGGGCCGACGGCCGCAGGCCGTGCCGTCCTATACACGGCCGACGGCGACACGCGCGTCAGCCTCCCAGCAGGCCGCCCGCCGTCCAACAGGTGCCTGCCGGTTGCCGGCTGCTCTAGACGCGCACAGCCCGGCGGTTATGCGTGATCAACGCAGACGCGAGCGCGGCAATGCCACCGAATCACGCCACGGGCTGGTGTAGGAGCGGCCCGAGCACCCCACTGACCTCCGGCCTGAGGTCTGACTCTGGCACGAGCGCCGAGGGACCAATTTAATCCACAGTAGGGCCACGATGCTGCAAGACTGCACGCTTCTCAGGGTGCCTGCAGTGTCACGCAAGAAAAGTGCAACGTACCCAACAAGCACCCAAAAGGAACGCGCCACACAAGTCACTGATCCGGGGCGGCTGTACTCGCTGCGGAGCGCCGTGCGTAGTCGGAGCCCAATTTAGTGTAGAATGCGTATGATGCCGGCTGCGGAGAGCACCGCGCCACCACAGGACGCTCAGCGGCAGCACCGCTAACATAACAGGCGGCTAACAGTAGCGGTCGGGTGGCGGTGGCGAGCCGAGTCGATGGGTCGGCCCGATCAGCTGGCCACGGAGCCGCCGACCGTCGTATGTTCCGAGTCCCGCCCACGGCACAGATAAGCCGTGAACGGTGGGCCGAGTCGATGGGTCGGCCCGATCAGCTGGCCACGGAGCCGCCGACCGTCATATGTTCCGAGTGCCGTTCACGGCACAGATAAGCCGTGAACGGTGGGCCGAGTCGATGGGTCGGCCCGATCAGCTGGCCACGGAGCCGCCGACCGTCATATGTTCCGAGTGTCGTCCACGGCACAGATAAGCCGTGAACTGTGGCGCACAATCGGCTGCAGACAGCTCACAGAGCGTGGCGAGCCACACCCGGCAGCGCAGAGCTCGATCGTCCCCAGACGCCGCCCACGGCGCACCGCGCGCGTCAGTACCGTGGCTCGCGCCACGACGGACGCAGTACTTCAGTAGTCCACCCGCTCACGTGATCTACCTCTGCATACGGCGAAGGTCTCCAGTCTCCAGACATCTTAAGCTAACCCTTGGGTGCAAAACACACCCGGCACCTAGTCGAATCCCTCCACATCGGCATTGCGAGGACCGGGAAAATGCAGTTGGTCGCCCCCACCATCTAGGCGGTTCGAGGCTTCAGCCCCGCGCCACTGTCGGCCTACAGCAATTCAAACATGTAGCAATCTGCCATGAACTCAGGGGAAGTCCATGTCTCTTTTCTCCGGTCTGTCCGCACCTAGCACCATTCCTGTGGCTTGAAAAAATCGCTGTCCGCAGCATTCCTGGGTACAGTCAACCCCGGTGTCGCCCGGAGGACAACCGCCGGCTATACCACGTCACACCACGCATATGAAGCGAATGTAGCTGAGTCTGACCACGGGCCCATACTCGCTAGGGTGCATGCACATCTCCCCAGCAGCATATTTCCCATGGCGGTGTTCCGCGTGAACACGACGAAAGTCAACACGAACTCTTTGAGAAACACAAACGACTACAATGAGCTTATCAGTGCGGGTGCCGCGAGGCAACTGGGCTCACGACGCATGACCACAATGTGCCCACCATCCATCAACCCCCCCCCCCCCGGGTTATCATAAACACAACCTTTAAGCTGTGAAGAACAGCACCCTCTCCATTTTGTGTGCCCGTCTCTCCCTAGATTAAGCTTAAGACGCGCTCGGTTGGCAGATAATCTAGGAAGATTATCTGAAATGTTGGAAGCAATTTCCGGGGTAGCGTTCGGCGCCGCCAACACGGAAACTTATCCCAGATAATTTTCTGTACCGAAGGATAATCCCGGGAAATTTTCGGAGCCTGGCCAAAACCGGTATTCTTTTTCGCTATGGATATGTATGACCTTTAACTGTGCATGGCGCATGGGAGGCAAATCTGGCGGATAATTTCCGGACGTACCGAACGTAAATGGGGAGTACCCATGGATGATTATCGGAGATAATTGTCCGCTGGATAATTTCCCCTTGGACGAGCACTCCTCAGACCACGGATATGGATGCTGTAGGTTGTACGCAGAATTAGTCTCATTCGGGCTGATTTTCTATCGGGATCTTAGTAATAACGGACGATGAGTTTAAACCACTATTCTCGCCAAGTTAGCCCATCATTTCCACCACCAGCACACCACTGACATCCTAGAAGCGCCTTTTGTAAAGCGCACGTTAAGAACCTATTCCAGCACGTCTAACGGAGCATCACCAAAGGAAAACCCAGAATCATCTACATCTCTGCTCCAGCACGCACACTTTGTGGTAACGTACGGATGCCTCATGTTGGTCACTGCTGAACGAAACGCTCCACCCCCTAATTTCACCGGTGAAGCGTGGAGTAAGATACGCCACAGTAAACAAACACGGGCCACCAAGGAGCCCCATGGCGATTGGAGCGCGTCCGCCCACACTGGGCCGACAGCCAGACCGGTCCGTCGGCTCGCCACCCACCCACCTGAGTCGTGGGCCACGGTCATCTCTCTGTTCATCGTCCACACCGGCGTAGCGCAGCGCGGCTCGCCATCGCGCGCGCCAGCTCAGCCCGCCCGGCGGTCGGCGACACTGCGGCCGGTCCGGCCCGCACTCCGTAGCGAGAGGCTGCTGCGCCCGCCCGCCCAGGCCGGCCGCGGATAAGACACGGGCCGCCGCCGCTGCCCGTATCGGCCCGGTGGCCGCGCGCCGCTCCGTTTGACGTATCAGTGCCACTTGTTGGCGGCGGCGGCCGGCGCTTTGTTCCCGGCAGCCGTCCGGCAGCGGCCGGCCCGATACTGACCGGGCCGGCGCGCAGGCGCGAGCAGCAGGCGCCAGTTTCGCGTGCGACGGTTCCGGCCGGCCGCGCCGGCGGCAGGCGATACCGGGCCGTCGGTGCTGCCCCCCCCCCCCCCTCCCGCGCGGCCCGGCCGGCATGAGGTGCCGCCCCCGTGTGTACGTCTGCCAGCCAACTGACCGCGCCCACTCAGACGCGCCGACCGGCCGGCCGCCGCCGCTGCACGGGCCGGCTCAGCCCCCGACGGGGCAACATCTCGCGCTGAGGCGCGCAGCGACCACACGCGCCGGCCGACGGTGACCCTCCCCCCCCCTTCCCCCACGGCAGCGTGCCGCACGGCTCTGGGACTCACCTTCGGCGGCCGGCGGTGCGGCGTCAGCGGCCGGCTCGGGCGCCACGTCCGCCGCCGCCTCGGCCGGCTCGCTCTTGATCTCGGCGGCGGCGGCAGCGGCGGCGGCGGGCGCGGCAGTAGCGACGGCGGTGGCGGCTGCAGCTACGGCGGTGGCCGCGGCAGCGGTGGTGGTGGCGGCGGCGGCGGCGGGTGGCGCGCTGCCGCCGCTCTCGGGCGTGCCGCCGCTCCCGCCACCGCCGCCGGCCTCCACGCCGTTGAGCGCGGCGCCGTCCTCGGCTTGGACCGCACCCGGCTCGACCGGCTCCAGCTTGACCAGGGCGGGCGCGGCGCCGGCGCCAGCCGCCGAGCCGCCCTTCTTCTCCTTCTTCGCCTCCTTCGGCTCCTTGATCATCCTGTCTCGCTAATGCAGCCCTCAGCGGGCCGTCATTCACATCTGAAACACAAGACGTCACTGTGCTGAGCGAGTGCGGCGCCGTGCGGCAGGTAAGCCAAACCAACAGCTTAGCTCACAGTGGCACTATATTAGCATGCACGCAGCACCAGCAGCATATCGTAATGCCAAAAAAGACAAGAATTGACCATGGAATACTTGCCTTTACAAACCGCGACTGGAATTTATATGAATGTTGATTTGCGACACGTGAGTATGACACAGACACGACTGCCCATGATTGATGGGTGTCGAATAGCTGGACGCAACGTTTGAAACGCTGAAAGTTTGAAAAAGGGGCTTACAATGCCTGAAATGCCCGAATTCACTGAAAACACACGGTGTGCGACAATAAAGAAGCGTTCACAAATTGATCCAGTGCCCGAGCCAAGGATGCGCTAGCACAACAATACATGCACGCCCTTGCCACCCATGTGGCTGAACATTGTCGGAGTGTCAGAAACCAGCCCAAAACATCTATGACAATGACAGGGGGAGCCTTGGCTCCTGGACTGCCAGAATAAATCAACGCTACAATACACCGGGACGTATCGGTTAATAGACGCTAACAAGCACACATTGCTTCTATTAAGCCAACTCAATATAACCAATTATAACCATCATGGTCGATCAGTTTCGGCGTAACAACTGCCCACTCATAAAGGGATCTATTAGACTTACAACAGACCATCTAATGATGGGGGGGGGGGGGGGGGAGGCTTGCTACTTCAAGCTGGCTGAGCCCACCCTGTCTGAGTGTTACCATCTACACGAAAACTAGTCTGAGAAGGATCGATACAGGGCCGATGAGCATTCAACACCGCGTCCGAGTGAGCGCGGGCGCCAGACGACTCACGATACACTCAGCGGTCCAGATGACGGCGTCGAACGGCCGGTCCGACAACGGAGACGTGCGGCACTGAGCTTATGCTAGTTTCGAGTACGCCAGTCTTACGAAGAACGCCGAAATTGGTCGTGGCCGTATCGACATGGAAACTTGGTGGTTCCATACGTCCTTCGAGCCCGTCCCACGCTGCTGGGGGCGGCCGGTGGTACGTGTCTATATGGCCGAGCCCAGACGGCAGCCAGTCTGGATGTGTTGAATGACAAATGGAATATCCCACCTTTTTGTTACTTTCGCCCATAGTTGCATCAGACGCCTGCGATTTGATCAGTAATACCGGTTTTCTCGAAATCCTTCCGAATAGCTCGAATTTCGACTAGAAGTAGCCGACCCAGCGGGAGAAATCTCATTTGACTCCCTCTTCACCACTATGAAAGAATACATTTCATCTACCTTGATTTTTCCAACGTGTGTTCTGTAATGTTAGCAACACAATAATGTGTCAAAAGGTTTACGCAATAAACGCTGCGAAAGCCTGAAATGTGCCAAAATGTTTGTGCAATAAATGCTACTAAAGCTCGAAACACTCTGTTTAGACAAAAAGTCTAACGAACATAAGGCTACTAACCCGCGAATTCAACAAAATGTTATGCTATGGCTTTGATTTCTCCCGGCGTTTACCAAAGAATGTCTTTTCGAGCTCACCTTAGCTTTTGGGATTGGAGCACTACAGCATCCATGTGACGCACTGGTTCAAACAATGTGCTCTTCAGTAACAGACCCTTGCCTGAAGGTCCAATCACAAAGTTCTTGTATTCGCACCAAAAGAGGTGCGCACGGTCGTTGCAATTACGACAATTGTCACGACTGCGTGGATGAAGCATAGTGCTGTTACGAAACGTTGACAGCGTAATCCGCGCCTGAAAATGATCAAAATTGATATCCTTGCCAAGTCTCCACGGTGCCGCGGGGGCACTACCCAGTGCTTATATTAGGCGTCAATTGTCCTGAGGTTTCACTTGAGTATGTTTTTGAAATATACCCAAAAGGTGGGGAACTTCCTTTAACACGCGTTCTGGTGGGAGTCAATTTGACCCCCCTGAAGGTTTTTCCGGAATGGTTTCCGAACGACACGGTGTATCCACGCCAAATGTTACAGAGCTGTAGACAATTGAATAGCGGATCGTTTGGTATCAAATATTTAGAAGTGCCTTATAAGGTTGCTGATCTACGGCAGGTTGAAGTCAGACCGTAGATTCGGCGGAGACAGTTTCTGGGGAATCGTTCGATCTCACGCAACGACGGAGAGTTAGACGGAGCCATAGACCTCTGAGATAGTTTCTTAGGCAACACAACTGAATGGACAAACTACACTTAGGATCACGTATGAATGTCACACCAAGGTAAAAACCAAACTGTTTTAATACCCAAGAGCTTGCCGTTTGCGATGGCTTCTGGCGCTCATATCGGATTTATTGATAACAGGAACCGCATTATACATCTTCCACGGACTCCTTAAAGGTTAGAAACGTCCACTGACTTGAAATGACCTGGGCTAACACTTTGTTTTTAGCAGCACACTGTCCCGCGAAATATTTCATGCTGATTTAGCTGCAAAACTCAGAGCAGTCTGGTATGACTTTGGTCACCATGGCCTTCCACAGGTCAAACAAGGTTATAAACTTTAAATGAGCAGCAGTGACCTTTTGCTTGGAACAGGCATCTAGGTTCGAAGGGCGCGTATGTCACCAATCTGGTTCATCTAAATCAATCTGTTTTATAGCTCTACTGGTTTCTGAGATTTCATGCGGGAAGAGGGCCAAACTGATCCCCCCCTCTCCCAACCGAGCGAAGGATATTCCGCTGGCCAACCGGGCGTGTGTCAAGCACAGGGAACGTTGGGTTACCGAAGTTCGTTGCCTTTTTTGCCCACCTTCTTAAACATATGTTGCAGTGGATGCTCGTTCCGGCGTCTATCACATAGCGCATGCTCAAATGATCCATATCCTAATGGCATCATCATGAAGTGACGACTTGAATCATGTCTGTCGCATGCACTGCTGAGCAGCGAGGTCCCGGCACTGGACCCAGTTGTTCAAGATATTTAGCGCGTGGAAAGACGATATATTTTCCATGTAGTGAACGAGCTACGCGTCTGCGACGCATAATCAACCAATGGCTTAATGTTAGAAATTGCGAATGCGCCGGTCTAACTGCTGACTTGACCCAAAAAGGCCCTGGGTTTCCTTGCTCCATCCTTACGATAAACGAACGCGTAAAGAAGAATGCAGAAAATATCGTGATACAACTTTGACTTAGCACAATTCAGCGTTTTCTTTCTCAAAGTATCGATGGTAAACTTGAGTGCCTTGAGTGGAAAACACTTCGACGAAATCCATACAGTAATATAAATATTCAGCTGGCAACTGTCAAGCATGCGTGAGTCGTCTCCGAAGACATCGCGCAGCGTGGGTAACGCGGCACTTCGCTGGAAGTGACACCAGCGCCCCCAGGCGACATGTGGACACGATTGGACCACGTGGTGCACGGTGAAGAGCGCGGAGCACCGTGAACATCGCCGTGTACCATCGCCACACAGTAAGTACCTGTGGGTTTCCTACGCGTGTCTAACACACAATTTGCAGAGCACAAGTTCCTCTCGCCTCATTTTACGTAAGCTGGTATGCCACAGGCCCAAGTCAGGTTTATAGATCCAAGCTTGCTTCTCGTTTACCTGTTCCATCAGAGTCGCCCCTTCGTTGTAAAAATGGCCAAATAGCTGGATAAACATTGCAATTGGTTACAATACTCTCATCTGACTTCGAGACAAACTGGCCTAGAAGACAACGGAACGGCGCGGTACTATACAGCAAGCCGAAGCTACCTAATGGCATGTGTGAGGGGGGGGGGGGGGCGGTGACTGATTTAAAAATTGAGCGTCCTCACAACATGACCCTGTCCCGCACTGCGTGTGGTCGTGACCCGCCGCTGTGACGGCCTCTCCTCCATCCGTGGTAACCACCGGCCGCTCCACACACGCGTGCGACCAGCAGATTAGCGGCGTCGATCTACCGCCACCTGCCAGACGACACAGCCGTCCTCTCATAGCTAAACGCCAACACTGCCGCACCAGTACGGCACCCAGAAGCGTTCTCTCCGGACTCTTGCAACAATGACGGACCGACATCCCATCCAGAGGCGTCCTCTCCGGACCCTTGCAACACTGACGGACCGACATCCCATCCAGAGGCGTCCTCTCCGGACCCTTGCAACACTGACGGACCGACATCCCATCCAGAAGCGTCCTCTCCGGACCCTTGCAACAATGACGGACCGACATCCCATCCAGAGGCGTCCTCTCCGGACCCTTGCAACACTGACGAACCGACATCCCATCCAGAGGCGTCCTCTCCGGACCCTTGCAACAATGACGGACCGACATCCCATCCAGAGGCGTCCTCTCCGGACCCTTGCAACAATGACGGACCGACATCCCATCCAGAGGCGTTCTCTCCGGACCCTTGCAACAATGACGGACCGACATCCCATCCAGAGGCGTCCTCTCCGGACCCTTGCAACAATGACGGACCGACATCACATCCAGAGGCGTCCTCTCCGGACTCTTGCAACAATGACGGACCGACATCACATCCAGAGGCGTCCTCTCCGGACCCTTGCAACAATGACGGACCGACATCCCATCCAGAGGCGTCCTCTCCGGACTCTTGCAACAATGACGGACCGACATCCCATCCAGAGGCGTCCTCTCCGGACTCTTGCAACAATGACGGACCGACATCACATCCAGAGGCGTCCTCTCCGGACCCTTGCAACACTGACGGACCGACATCCCATCCAGAGGCGTCCTCTCCGGACCCTTGCAACAATGACGGACCGACATCCCATCCAGAGGCGTCCTCTCCGGACCCTTGCAACACTGACGGACCGACATCCCATCCAGAGGCGTCCTCTCCGGACCCTTGCAACACTGACGGACCGACATCCCATCCAGAGGCGTCCTCTCCGGACCCTTGCAACAATGACGGACCGACATCACATCCAGATGCGTCGCGTCCTCTTCCAACCACTCGCAACGTCACTCCACACCGCCGTTATAATTGTTTTACACAGATGCGCCTGGGGACGCGGCCCATGAGTCGTGTAAGAGCTGAGCTATCTCCGACATAAACGCACTGCTGTGACACAGGTCACCTCAAGCTTCTGGACGTTCCTCTAGAGGCGCCGGCTGTCGCTGGCCGATCTGTTACATTTTCGCCAGAGCAGGTGTACGTGACGACACGGAGCGGGGGTCGGTGGGTGGGGGAGGGCTACAAACTCACCGGTCGGACGGCGTCGTCCTCAGGAGAGAGCTCAGCTCGGCGGCCAGTGGTGTCAGGGCACCACCCACTTGGCCATCCCCTGCAGCAGAGGTCGCTCGTCAGCGGCGGAACCCGTCCACCGCGCCGGCAGATCGGAGCACGTCCCAGCCGCACGATGCGGACAAATCGGCGCCGTGTGACGTGCATGACTGCGTCGCGTTCGCCGGCGCTGCTGAGTCCGTGGACGGCACCACGCCTGGCTCTGGACGCGGAGACCCCACGTTTCCCATCCATTGACACGCCGCGAACCGGCCGACGGCGAGCCAGCGACTGCCGGCCAGCCTGGCAGCCGCTGCCACAAAGCGCCAGCGGCGGGTGAGTGACACGACACGGCCGCCGCTGGCGGGCGCCGCCACACACATCCGGCAAGCGCACCGCCTCCCGTGCCGAAACACAACCCCTCCCCCTCCCCCACCCCCTTCCAATCACCATCGCAGCCCGTGCAGGTAACGGTCACGGCCACCCCCGGACGACCCGGGAACAATTCCCGGGGGAGGGTCACCGGGGAGACCGGGAATGGCGCGTGCCGGCTGACGGCGAGGGGTGATGACCGCCGGCCGGGCTGACATAGGCACGCCCTGCGCCCGGCAAGACTGGTTTCGGGGATCACGCCGCGAGATCACATCCCCACATCAGCTCGGTGGACGGTGGGCGGGCGGCTGGGACGCGGCAACACTTCTCGGAACACAACGGCCGACATCCTGGGGTTGCCATTTCCAAACGGCCAAAGGGCATTGAGTGGACTTGGGGTAGGACTTTGGCGGCTGGTATGGCTACGACGCTGCCGCCGGGCCGGCAATGCGCATGAATGAACGCGGCCAGCCGTGCCACGCGAGCAGACCACACGCAGTCACTGGTCATGCCAGTTTAGTGCAACAGCTCCTCACGCCGTCACGCGCGCTGCTATCTGAGCTGCCATCCGACAACTCCCTGACGACGTCTGATCATCGTTAAACAATAATTATGAGCGCGGCAATGCAAAAATACGTTTAACACCGGCCGCGTTGGTCATCCGTTGCCGGCGACAGCGCCGATGACGCCATGGCACGGAGCGCCGGCCGGCGACGGCGGCTGCCCGCAGGAATTAGGGTGTGCGCCTCACCAGGCAACAGTGGCGTGGCCCTTGGGCGTCCGGCGCGCAACACACGGTAGTCATGGCTACCCCGACCGTCACACGGCTTTAATCGCCATCGATTGCGTCCGTCGCGCTGCAGCTCCTTAGTGCGGCTGTCGTCCGGATATCCCCGGCCCCGCGGCCCATCGCTACTGGCATCCGTGACAGGCCCACGCCAGGTCCGACCGCCCGCTCCTTAGTGCGGCCGTCGTCCGGATATCCCCGGCCCCGCGGCCCATCGCTACTGGCATCCGTGACAGGCCCACGCCAGGTCCGACCGCCCGCTCCTTAGTGCGGCCGTCGTCCGGATATCCCCGGCCCCGCGGCCCATCGCTACTGGCATCCGCGACAGGCCCACGCCAGGTCCGACTGCCCACTCCCAGGCGATTATGGCAATACGTTGACAATCAGGACAGTGGGCAATGAAGGGTCGCACTGCCGTGGTGCGAAACGGAAGCACAAAAATGTACCACTGACGGTCTGACCCCAGCGATTGCAAATGTCACGGTTCCCACTTTATATTACCGTTGTGAGGATGCAATCATCTGGTACCCTCCAGCAGACTTTCAAAAACGTAGTAGCAATGCGCAATAACGTAAGCTACAAGGTACCTGTGCACATGCATGTGGCCAAATGGCTTGACAAGTTCCGTTAATGCAGCCGTTACCATTATGTGTGCCATGTCATTGGCCCGCAGGCAAACCGGTCTTAGCCTAAAAAACAAACCTGGGTTTTATTGCAATTCTACACGACACACTACCAGCTTCGGCAAAGCACGGGTTACCTCAATTCAAAGCAGAGTAACGGAAAATAACATGCCTGGAATCTCCACAAGCCTTCGACGTAGTGAAGAACTGTGCCCTACCACACACCACTCCGCATTTTCTTCTCACATATCAGCAACGACACGTTTGCTGCCGCGCATGCCTGCGGATTCCAATATTTTATGTGTGTTTCGTGGACGGGTCTCCCAGCCGACAGCGCCCATCGCCCCTCGTACCCCGCTCAATCGACATTTGGCAGCGGGGAGTGAAAACTCACCCCTTTCATCATCCAAGCAACATTATTTGCTCACTCGGATGAAACTGGCGATCAAAACTGACCACCGAATATTTCACTCCTTCCTACATGGGGGGGGGGGGGGGGGGGATACAGGACAACCCGTGTAAAGGGCGAGGATCGTCCATAGGATCCCCAGGCGTTCATCCTGGTCAAATCACTCTTCGCACACCTATTTCACGAGAAGGGCTGACAGCCTCCTCAGCCTCCTCTGTCCACCACACACACAGGCCGGGAGCATGCGCCAGAGTTGCCACGCCCCTCTTCAATGAATCGGAAGCCGCATTTGCCAGCGCTTCCCAACGGACCACCATAGCTGGACAACCATAATCGTCCCCTGAAGACGACGCCGGCCGCGGCGGCCGGGCGGCGGCGCGTGGCCTCGCTCCCCGAAGACGGCCCCGGCCCGGCCGCGCTGCACGGGACGCGCCGTGCACCGGCCCCCGGCCGCAAATCTCCGCCCGGGGCCGCGCCGTGCACCGGCCGCCTGCAGAAGCCGCCGCCGCTGCCGGTCGGCCGGGCGAGCGCCGCAAAACAAACAGCCGCGCGCTGCCCGCCGCTCAATACATCTGCCGGCGAATTTACGACGCGTGACATCCTATCCGTGCTAACCGCTATGTTATCGGCACGGCGGCCATCAGTTTCGCCGCGCTCTCAGCGCCTGTCCATCACCGGAGCGCGAGCGGTGCCGGCGGCGCGGAGGCGCGGCGCTCTGCCCGGCCCCGTCCGTCGGCGGCTATATCGGGCGGCGTGCGTCGCCGGCGGCCGGTCAGCCGGCGTCTGTCGCCTCCCACAGGTGTAGGGCGGCTCGCACGGCGGCAAGGTCAGCGCGCTGGCGGCGGCCGGCGACGGTGGCGCCCCCGCCGCCGGTGCCAGCCGTCACCGCGCCGGGGGTGCCGGCCCGACACTGCCAAATGTCGCGAATAGCCGCCGCCGCCGCCGCCGCCGCCGCCGACGGCGCTGGCCGGGAATGGGTCTGCTCTCCCGCCGGGAGGCACTCGGCCAACGGCCAGCGCTGGCCGAGCAGCGGGCTGCCAGCCGGCGTTGCACCAGCTCACGCGCGTAGGACAACCGAGCGCGCATACAGGGTTTCCGCTGCGAGGGCTCCCGACCAACAAGAGGAAACCGACGGGAGTCCTATTCGGGGCTATCTTAAGACCGGCAGCCGCAGACCCTCATACTGCCTTTCTGAACTTTTCCTGGGGAGCATTGTCGCCATATTTTGGTGTCCTATCGTAAAGAACGAGAAACTGGCATCCTTTAACCACTCTTACATCGCGTTCGTTTCCGATGCCAGAAGCCCAGCATTTCCCGGGGCATGAGTCCAAACCCGCGTGTCTCCGCCTTGTGCGCGTCTCCGCCGGCAGCCAAGTTATACGGCACACCGGACAGCACGGCGGCACACCGGACAGCACGGCGGCACACCTGGCAGCACGGCGGCACACCGGACAGTACGGCGGCCCGCCCAGAGCCTCGGCAGCCGGTGAGCGTGGGCCGGCAGGCGCCAGGTAGCCGCGGGCGGCGCGTCACCCGGCCCGCGCGCAGCCTTAAAGACGGGCCGGGCCGGGCCGGGAGCGGCGCAGCGGCAGCGGCCGGGCACGCACGTGCGCCGGGTCACCGGCCGAGAATGCCAGCCCGGTGACGCAACGGCGAGTCGGCCGGCTGCCAGCTGGCCGGCGTTGGCCGAGCTGGCCATGGGCCGACCGGCGGCGAAGCCCGCTCGGCCCCGCCAACGGAGGGGCGCGCGCGCGCGCGCAAGCGAGCCCGCCGCCCGCAGGCCAGCTGCAAATAGCGCCGCTGCCGCCGTCCGACGCAGAACCAGTTTGCCGGCCAGGCGGCAGCGCTGGCGGTGGCGACCCTCCGCGGCGCTTACGCAAGCGCGCCCAGCCGCCGCCGCGCAAACGGCAAACGGCATCTGACAGGCCGCCGGGCAGAACAACCACAATGTCGGCTGCTTATAGCGAGGATCGTGCGGGCTCGCTTCCGTCCACATGTATGCTGCTAAAACATTACAAAGGACGGATAAGACAACTAGCTTGCATGCAATTATTTGTCACACTGTCATATTTTAAATCGTTGAATATAAGAAACTCAGGGGTCATGCGTATACCGAGGATACAATCAAACCAAAATGAGGCACCTGCAGTCATCATCACAACCCCGTTGAATCGCATTTCAATGACTGCTGACGCCAGTTGAATTAGCCCCAATCCCCCCTCCCCTCAAAACCGTTACAATCTACCAAGCAACATCGTCGCGTGGCGTGGCTACGGAAGCGGTCCGTTCATCTCCTAAGAGTGAATGGACTCGGCCGAGGTGACGTGTTGCAGAGCTAAAAATTCATCGTGCAAACAACGATCTGGTGTCGTATTTTACTATGCCGGAAGGAAAGCCCTCTTAGAAATTGATCTCCCTCTACTCGGCTGGTGGGTCAATGAAGACGCAACAAACTCTCTCCTGCGCTTGTACTCAAGCTCAAATTCATACCCTTACCCCTCCCCATTCAGAGCAAACTGGATGTCAAAGAAATCTGTCACCCCTCCCCCATTCAGAACAAATTGGATGTCAAAGGAATTTGTCATCACCGAGAAACAGAACGAACTAAAAGCTAAATTTTGGTATTCGAAAGAAAAACGCATCGTGTATCTCTTCGTCACACTTTTCCGTACCCTGAAGGACATAAATGGTCGGTGTGTATCTTTCAGGGAGCGCACATATCGCCGGACGCCTCCGGGTACGCAAAGCGCTCTCATACAAACGTAAGACCACACCGCACACGGCCAGTACGCTACTCCTTTGGGTTTGGGGCGCGTCGACGACACTGGTCAGTATTGCCCCGAGAACGGCCACTGGCAGCGGCCAGCAGTCTGCCCCAATTGGTACCACCATCGACCAAACGGACGGCGGCAGCAGGGAGCAGCGGCGACGCAGGGCCCGAGAGTCAACCGCCGGCCGTCAGCAGGTTCCGTGATGGACGGGTGCGGACGCACACCACCCCGACAGCGAGGCCGTGGCACCGGACAGCAGCGAGCCCGCCAGCGCATCTCAACGAAGGGGTGTCTGAGCCGTGGTTAAAACGGAAAAGCTCCGGGGGGGGGGGGGGGGGGCGGCAAAAAGCAGCGTATTCATGCCAGGACAGCCCAAAACGGGACTACACGGCCCTGAGTCGGACGACAGCTCCAGAGATGACATCTCCAGCTGCGCGACCTGCGCCATGACCAGCGAGGCCAAGCCGGGGGGAGGGGGAGAGGGCGGGGACATGCTCGGCGGTCCGACCACGACAGAGCCCCAGCATGGTGCGGTCAGAACATGGTATACCGGCGTGGTTCGCGGGACGGCTTCGGTAGCCCTCCGCGGCTACGTCAGGCCTGTCAAGATCAGCCTGTCGGGATGCCAACAACAACAGCCGCTTCGCTCGGCCCGCGGCACATATGCAGCGTGTTTTGAGTCCGGCACTGCAGTCCTGACCGACCAATGCGTTATTCACACACCTATTTCAGTGCCCCAGGCGTGCAGCCCACGCGCCGTCCCCCTCCCCACCCCTCATAGGTTCGCACTGATGTCCACAGGAGATGGATCCGCGTGCACACATCGTCGTCGTCATTGGGACTTCACGATGCACTCAGCTGCTGAGGCTATATGGCATCGTCCGCCTCTCACCCTGAGAAGGAAGAGCGGGCACCGCGGGGAGTCGAACCTCGCACCTCTGGTTCCCCATACGTGCAGTGGTTAACGCAGACGAGTTAATCACTACGCTATCGGCACCCCGCGTGTGCACATCAGTACGCAAATCAGGACAGGATTCCCGTACAGATCAGGCCGCGATTCAGATCAGCGCACGTCTACTTCATTGACAATTCTGGCCGTGCCTCCCCCGTTGCCTGGGCTCACCCGTGTCATCAACGGCGCCCGCCGGCTGGGGACCTAAAGCGATCACGTGACCGACGCCGCCGGGCCGACATGACCCGACCTCGCCCGGGGCGCGGGTCAAGGGTCACCCGTGATGCGGATCACTGGTGCGAAAGTCTGCCATGGGATCACGCTGGGGTTGCGGGTGGCTGCTGCTCGTCGCGCGTCACGCCACGTGGTGAGCTGATTCTGGGACAATTCGCGTGCGGCTTTAAGCTGGACACCAGCAGCCCAATCTGTTTTGGCTGTTGATAACCGACCAACAAAAACAGCTCATCCCATGGCTAAGAACCAGTTATCTTAATATTTGACTGCGGCTTATGCATTCTCTGCCTTTCATCACTATGTCTACATGTAAGGGAGAGTTCCCACTAACTGAACAATTAACAAGTAGTTAAATCATTAGCCAAAAATGTGCCAGCATACTTTGTAGGCGACAAGTTGGAGTCTTCCGCCACTAATAACCCACGTCTGCAAGTCTGAACCTTTCTTCTTGTAATTGTAATCTCCCATGATATTTGGGATCAGCTACATGCTGTGAACAACACATTCAAAATTATCAGTCCTGTGTACCAAGGACCATCAGCTGAAGCACATGCTACCAAACACAGCTTAAGCCACTGCCAAACACAGCTAAGTCCCTTGGCACAAGAAGTAAGAAACATGAAATGTCAAACTTGTGTTATTCTTATTGATAAGTGTTCTTTGACTTATTCTTTCAAACCCATTATTGCATGTCATGACCTTCTATTACTGGGAAAAGTTTTTTCCAAAAAAGAAGTTTTCCAGAAAAGAGAAAAAAAGAGAATTTTCTTAATGATTGGTGTTAATTTAGTCCACATACATGTTTTGAGTTTTCAATCCAACATGCTTGGCATCATTTTAAAAATTTCAAGCACTTGTGTTAATTTCAATAATGGCGAACAAGCTTATATGTACCAGTAGGTGCTGATGCTGCCAGAATGTCACTCTCACTGTGCATTGCTAATCATAAGTGTTGGTCATTGACTACCTACAGGAATAACACTGCAACTACACATTCCTTATCATTGTCATCAGCCACTGATGATACATACGCCAATTTTTCATCTTGTGACAATACCCATGGACCTTACTGACATCAATATGCTGGTAATGGTGATGTTTCCATGATATATAGATGATTATGACCATACTTATACTGCTACATGTTCATATCTTTTCTGAGCAAAATTAAAGCAGCAGTCTGTACTGAGTCCCATTGTAAGGACAAAAGTCAACCTCCTTAATAATGAGACAGTTGTTGCATAATAAGTTTTGAGCATATGTCTGACCAGCAACACATACCCAGTAACACTTGGCCACAACATAACAATCATGCTATGTTTAATCTTAAGATGCGGATAACTTGAATTATCCCAAAGAATGATAGCTTGTGCAAATGCAAATAATTTCAACATTACAATAACTTGATGAGAATAGAATTTGACATGACATAAAACATATCCAAATCAAGCAACCTTGCTAGAACTGTTGCATATTCATGTGCTCTGCAATTCATTTGTTGTCTGACATCAATGTTGTCTCAAGTCTTCAGCATATCACTGGTAATTCATGTTTTATGACCGCACATGGCTACAAATTCAGTGTAGATACATGATGGCTGCACACAATAGTGTTTTCATATCAGACACTTCCTGAGTTCACAGCAAAATGACTGGTCTTAGAGCACTCTGTAATCCCCATGCTTAAAAATTGATTGAATGACAGAGCCTGAGAGCCTGACTGACCATAAAAACAAATTAACAAACACCTACCTGTTGAGGCACATATGTACCTTAGGAGTACTATGCCTAATCAAGTGGCTCATTTTTAAAAAGGTCTCAGCATTGAGGCGAATATGGCGACCAGTGTTCGGGAACGAGTTGAAAAAGAACCACCAGCATTGCCATTTAGGTGCCACTATTCAGATGCACAGCAAATAACGACAGAAATAATGTGACTTGTTTCCACCCATTTCACTCACTAGTTACTACATTCACAGCATCTTGAGCGCGCGGCATATTCGTCACAACTTACTCATTTCATCCGAGAATACTGCTATTCTGAGCTCGAACATCATCATTGAAGCAGCGAGCACGTTGGAGCTTACCTTCAGCTTAAAGGACGTTCCGCAGGGCAAAGATGCTGACACTGAGTTAATATCCACAGGATTAATATTCCGTGGAAGTATCCATCTTGGAAATTCTCACAACGCTGGTCACGTGATACATACGGCGGATTTGATTGGTGTTTGCTGCCGAAGTGTTTGCGGATGACTATTGCCGTGAAAGCTTCCTAAAAATATAGTTGCGTATTAAACCGAACAAAATCGCCCTGTTCAATTTCGCATGTCAAATTGAATAGCTTTATCATACCCAAACCTGTTAAAAGGACATATGAAGGAAAAACACTCTAATGTTAAGCGAGCTTTCATTTGGAGAATTTGTTTACACCTTTCAGCTGGCCCGAGAACAAAACAACTCCACGAGGGACGTGAGCAGGCCCTGAGCAGGGCGAGCTGATTGCGTCGTACGTGGGACGGAGGGGGCAGCTGGGTAACGCAGGCTCATTGATTCGTGGTGCGAGCTGGACGGGTTTGGAACGCGAGTACCAGCGAAGGTTTGCCAATAACCACCAAAGTCGATTTGTGGCTCGCATAGCTTTGGAAAACCGCCCCCGCAGGACGTCTTGCTCGGCCAGCTTGCAGAGGTGCACCCAGCATCCCTTGCTTTTGCAATCGCAGTTCTGATGTCTGGAGGCATGGAGAAGACATTTAAAGAGAGGAGGTCGATGGGTATGTACTGATTCAATAATGGGTGACTGAAAGCTATGGTATAGGTAGAGGATACCTCCTGAACAGTTTCCAGCACACTGCTTTGCCAGTTATTCATTATTTATCTCAATTCTTTGATAATCCTGGTGATTCTGAACAAAGGCAGGCATGTGTGAAGGACTGAGGACAGAGTTATCCAGCTAAAGTTCACATATGACTGCTAGAAACTTGGAGGAAGTATGTGACAAAATAGTGTTTAATAACTGTCTTAAGCATGGAAAATGTGTAGTAAGTGTGCAATATGTACCTTGGTATCTTGTGATGTGAAACATGTTGGTATGTACCCACAACATCAGCCTAGTTAGGATATCTTTGCCCACTTAGGACCAAACTTTCTGTGTTCCAGGCAGCACTGTTCACTTTTTATTTTTGAGATTGATTTGGGCATGGCTGTGCTGAGCGGGAGAATGTGTTGTGCAAACTGATGTATAGAATGCAATAATGGCACTGATGATGATGAATATGCATTACAGATGAAAGCAACATTCAAAATTTATGCTTAATTAGCTGGTTTGCAAGTTGTATAGAAACTGCTGCTGTTTTACGTACTGTGTGCAAATTATGATTGCATGGGGTGCCTTCATAGGTGTGCATCACATGGGAAAGGTGGATCTCCCATTTTTTAATGCTTGGAATTCAGACATAGCATTGTTTGGCCGGTTCGCAACTTACCCACAGTGTGCTGTTCTCTCACATAGTGAGTGGAAACAATGATGCAGCAAATTTAATCATGAGAAAGGCCAGGGTGGTGGAAGTGTAGTGGTCAACACATCTGTGTTAACCACTGCACATCTGGGAAGCCAGAGGTATGGGGTTTGATTCCCCTGCTGTGCCTGCCCTTCTTGCTGGGGTCAGAAGCAGATGATACCATATAGCCTCAGCAGCTGAGTGCATCATAAAACCCAATGACATGACACACAAACACATGAGGATGGTTAGGCATAACAGATCAAAGTTAAATGGCACTATGACAAATTTTGAATGCTAAAATTCCTGTGAACACCTCTAAATGCTCCACAGTTAAAGGGTGACAAAAATAGTTATGGTGAAACCTACCCAAGGGCAAAAGAACTGGGAGCCATCCTTTCACCAGGCTAGGTAGGATTGTGAAGAGGATATCTTCAAGTGACCGATTCTTTTAATGACACCTGAGATACCAAGGCAGCTTCTAACAAGCCAATCAGGACAATTTCCTTACTCCATCCCAGGAAGATAGTAGTAGGGGAACTTAGCAGCTTGCTGGCCATGGTGTGATGTGTCAGTAAAAGTAGTTTTGCTGAGGTCAGGGATGTGGGATACACTGAACAGTCCACATTGTCATTGAATTATATGTGATGTAAGACTTAAATTCTGGGCTTTGATTATTTAAGGATAAAAGATGGAGTGGCTGGTGCCAATAGCGGTTAACATTCAGGGATGCATGATGCTCCTGGTCCTCCTCCCAAGATGCAGTGGCAAGTGCCAGTAATGGCTAGCATGCATTGATGTGTGAGGCTCCAGGTCCTCCTCCTCCTAAGGTGCTATGAATGGTGCCAGTGGTGGTTAATTTTAGGGGTGTGTGATGCTTCTGATCTTCCTCCCAAGATGCATTGACTGATGCCAGAGATGGTTATTATTCAGAGATGTGTAATGCTCCTCATCCTCATCCTCCCAAGATGCAGTGACAGGTGCCAGTTATGGTTCATTTTTAGGGATAGGTGATGCTCCTGGTTCTCCTCCTCCCAAGATCCAGGGGCTGGTGTCAGTGATGGTTAATTTTGAGGGATGTGTGATGCTCCTGGTCCTCCTTCCAAGATGTATTGACTGATGCCAATGATAGTTAACATTCAGAGATGTGTGATGTCCCTGGTCCTCCTCTCAAGATGCAGTGACTGGTGTCAGTGATGGTTAATGTGCATTGATGTGTGATGTTCTGGTCCTCATCCTCCCAAGATGCAGTGGCTGGTGCCAGTGATGGTTTATTTTTAGTGATGTGTAATGCTCCTGGTTCTCCTCCTTCTATGATGCAGTGACTGGTAGCTAGAAAGCCAAGAAAGCTTGAGCACTTAGGATGCTATACACAAAGACTGACCAGCTAGTAAAAATTGTTCACCTATGTATGCTCACTCCTAATGGTCATCCAGAAGTGATCCTCCTAACAGCCATTCCTGAAGTTCAAGAGCTGAGCTGGACATTGTTACAGCACTTGGTTTTGAAATGAAATGGAGAAATCTTCTTTAACCTTATCAATGCAAACAACAAGTGATGTCACAGGCCTTATTTATGTTGTCTTACCTGTCACATGACTGGGAAAGCCAGTCAGTTAGTTAGTTAGTTAGTTACCCAGTTAGCCAGTAGAAGGGTTAGTTATTGATGTTCAGCTGAACTGACCAGGGCTTGTGTTTGTGACCTGACTGTGTCCAAGAGCAGTGTGGTGGTTGAGTGGTTTCACCCCATAACACAAGCATTGCCATTTCTGTTTGCAGAGCAGCGTGTGCACGATGTCAGGCATATTCGTGAGCTGCACCCCAACAAGGTGCCAGTCATCATCGAACGCTTCTCGGGCGAGAAGTCCCTGCCACAAATCGACAAGACCAAGTTCCTTGTTCCGGATCATGTGACAATGGGCGAACTCATCAGAATCATCCGGTATGAGTGATGTATCTGTGGGGCATTCAGTACATTTGTGCATCTGCATTTATGTGGTAGATCTATTTGTCTAAAATATTCATTTGTTCCCATTGGTAAAAGCGGTATTGTTGAGTGCCCTCTCTCTTTCACATCACTTCTTTATTCAGAATGGTTTATTTACAGCAAATCTTGGCCCTTTCTACTCAAATTCACCTTCAATTTTTTATGCACCCCTTGCACTTACATCATGAAAATAAATTCAAGGCTCTGAAGGAATCTGGAAAAGGCTCTGAAGGAATCCAAAATTTTGCTTTAAAAGGCTCTGAAGGAATCTGACAATTTTGCCTCCTGGACAGCAACTGTTCAGAATTTAAGCAGATTCCTGAGCAGGACCCTGTGTCCATGTTGGTGCTCTTTTCGATTTTATTCTCAGATTGGTAGTTAGCATTCCCGACCGACGCAACCCACCACACCATCTTATCTATTTGGTGTCCACTCCCGTCCCCATGTCGTAATGTGCTACTAACGTAACGTTCCTCCTACTACCCAGTTAAATGACATAAGTTCTACAAAAAAAAACTCCTACCGACAGGCATGCTACGTTACTTCTACTGTTAATACCCGACATGGGCGTTACGTGACTGAGCTTATACTGGAAAAATGCACCCCTCATTATTTACACTGAAAAACATGTGCAGTCGTTGCGTAAACACCTTAAAACACATAAACACATGTTTCTCATGTATTTCGGAGAAGGTTTGGCCGCCTTTTCCTGCTGAGCCCTTAAACTTGTTTTGCAGCACTACGACAGAGCGCCATGCGTTTTTCAGTAGAACAATTGTCGCGTAGAACAATTGTCGTGGATCTGTCGATCGCAATATTCACAGCAGCAATAATGTATTGACACCATTGAGTGGACACCTGCAGTCTGATTTCGCCCAGCCAAGTGCTCCCATCTGTTCGTTCCCTCTGCAGGATTCTGGTGAGGCTTAACCTACGGGCTGGAGTACTGGCGGTTATGATTTGTGGAGTATGGCCTGCATCGGATTGCGTAAATATCGCAAATAACTATTGGTGGAAGAAGTGATCACGCGGATATATGAGGACTCAAGTGGTCTGTACGGTAGACATGATGAGTGACATACAATTTTTAGATGTATTTTTTTCTCAAGTTTTGTGGTATAGCAATTCTATCACATATAACTGCGATGGAAATAATGTCGCGTATAAGTAAAGACCGTATAAGTCTTTGATGAAGAACTTATGGTGGGTATAAGTTTTGTGGTCGAGTTTTGTTTTGTAGCACTCATGTCGATTGTAAATGTTTGCAGTAGAAGTTATGTCGCGCATGAGTGAAGACTGCATGAGTTTTGGCGGCATATATATAATTATGCGTATAAGTTTTTGAAACATGCACTTTGTCGTCCAGCACTTCCGTCGTGCATAAGTATTTGCAGTAGAAGTTACGCCGTGTACATAAGTTGAATGTGTACAAACTTTGCTGCAGAAGAAACGCCGGGTGTATGAGTAAAGTATGTTTAAATTTTTGCAGTAGAAGTGATGCCACGTTTAACTGATCTCGTAGTTCTTCTGTCGGCGGGAGTTCTTGCCGTGGTACTAACGTCCTAACACCCTCCTCTCCTACGACATCGTTCACATCAAGGTCAGGGAGTGGCCGTGATCTGGTCGAACTTAGAAGTGTAACATACTCTATGAAAATAAACACTGTGTGTCCGCTCAGCTGCGAAATATTGTTCGGAGTTTGACGCATTTCAGTTTTACACTTGAGATGTGAACTAAGCTGTTCGCGCAATTCGGTGTCATTTTTGAAATCCGGCGTAATTATTTCCGTCGTGTTGTAATATGCCGTCCCTCTTTTCGTGTTGCATGAGGAATGACGTGGCGGATGACGCTTGGACATTGGGCTTGACGGACATTGGGGTGTAATTCTTGGGCGACGAACTCCACTTTTACGTTCTGGGCACAGGTGTGAAACCCACCGTGGAATATCAGTTGCTGAAAGCAGTTACATGGGAAGAGAGCGTTTCACTAATCACACTTAGCAAACTCGTGTACGACAGAAAGTCACATTTATTTCTCCCACAGATCATCAAAACGTCTCCAACAGAAATGATTTACATTTGGTCCATTTGACAACATGTGCTGCGGGACCGCGGCAGACCGCACGTCACGACACCTGCCATGACATGTATGACAGGACACTATGTGGGCATTGGCAGGTGACACATTTGACAGTATAAAAACAAGTTTACATTCATGTGATGAATTACGAAGTGAAATAGTATTACGATTAGGATTGTGCCTTTTGGCCATCTTAGATGGCTTTGCGTGGCACTGTTTTTCTCTTGGTCCCGCTCGCACACGCCCAAACACTCCGCGGCGGCACGTGGTCTACTCGCCTCTAATGACCCGCGCGAGGCCAGGTGCTGGTTATTTAAGATAGTGGACCGACCCGACGTGCTTGGGTGGGAGGGATGTCACTGGGTGGTGAAAGACAGTCGAGTGAGACCAGTGGATTGTCTCGTTTGCCTGCTGTTCGCCGCTTGCTGACCTACCGGCCGGACGACGACAAATGACGACGTCCGCGGGGTCGCCATGTTTGGGCGGCCCACATAAGACTCCCTCGTCAGGTGACGTTCCAAAACGGTTGAGCCTTGGCACCGGAAACGTCGTTCAAATCGAGGTCAGATTTTTACAAAGTTGCAAAATCAGAGTTGATTATATAGCACGTGTAATAATAACAGGTGAGTTGTATGAGATCTGTGTGGAAAAACAAGTCACAAACAGTCACACCTTTATGCTTATACAAGCACGGACTTAAGCATGACGGGTGGTTACAAAAAAAGCATCCATTTGCTCTCGAAGTTGATATTTCTTGATGTGATGGTCATCGACGCAATATGAAGCAATTGCACTAATTATAAGTCGAGTTTCGCAACATATGAAGAACGTTTCCCATTGTCCTGCACAGGGCGGTTGGTCGCCACCATTCCACATGTACGACCATCTGCTGCTTTTCTGCCTGCTGCAGGGCTGACAGTGGGTTTCGGCGAAGTCGCTAGTCGTGTTTTACAGAAACGCGCTGATCTTATGAGATCAGTTCAGTGAGACGTGTCATAAGAACTGCAGCCCTGGTCTGTACGAGAACGTACCGGTAGAGGAGAAAAGGAGCGAAATAGCCTTACACGTTGTCTTGCCCGGGTCCGGGTACGTAAAGATATGCAGCGTGAGCTGTCTGTGTCCTATTGTACCTTTCACTACCTGGGCGTGGTGTAAACGTGTAGCATGCATGGTGATTTGTTACCAGCTGAATTAAATATGCATGTTGTTGTCAGTTGCTGCTGCCCGTAGCTGCCTTCTGTTGTTGAATATTGCGCTGGATTCTACAGCGGGGTTTGTGTAACGCAGGCCAGTTGAAACACCACCGTTTCTGAGGGCCGCAGATCCCCTCGTCTTATCCCAGCTTGCAATCTCAGTAGCTGGACCAATCTGAACACAAGACGCGGAACAAATAATTACTGTTGCGATTTATGCTTGTGTTAAACGACGCATGATGCATGATGCATGCACCGTTTGTGCATGCAGATAAGTGAACGATTTGGAAGCGATTAAGGCAAGTGTTCTGCGACAAATTTTGTTTCGAAGCTATTGACGAACGCGTGCGCCACCTGTTCTACACGACATCGCGTTTGATGTTAGTGCTGAATGCAACATGGTTCATGGGTGTGGAACTGTAGTTGTATTTTCTTTTTTTGTGCGCAATCTTGCAAACTAGTTCTGAAACGCGAAGCCTGGGCTTCGTGCGGGCTTCAGATGCGAAGCCTGCCAGTGCTAGCTTCAGGCAGTTCTACCCTGATAACTCTGCTCTGCCTTATAATAGTAGTGATGCTGGTCCGTGATGAGAGAGGAGATGGGGAAGGGGTGCCGGTAGTGTAATGGTTAGCGCATCTGAGTTCACGAGCGCGCGTCTGTGAAACCAGAGGTATGGGGTTCGATTCCCCGCGGTGCCTGCCATCCTGCCAGGGTGAGAGGCAGGCGACGCCATATAGCCTCAGCAGCTGAGTGCTTCGTAAAGCCATTAACCCATGACATGCCATGACAGGCCCGTGATGAGACAACATAGCCCGCAGGGAGCACCAGCAGGGTGCTCCGCTCAACCCGTGTTGTGGGGTCAGCCTGTGGATTCTTCTCATCTCTGATGGACCGGTGTTGACTGGTGTCGAGGAGCTTGTGGACTGCTTGCCTCTCCAGCCCAGGCTCCAGCTGACCTTTGTTGTGGGAGCTATCTGGTACTGGCCTCCCCAGCTGACCTGTGCTGTGGGGCCTATCGGACACCGGATTTCCCAGCTGACCTGTGTTGTACGGTCCTTCAGGTGTGGGGCCTATCGGACACCGGATTTCCCAGCTGACCTGTGTTGTACGGCCCTTCAGGTGTGGGGCCTATCGGACACCGGATTTCCCAGCTGACCTGTGTTGTACGGTCCTTCAGATACAGGACTTCCCATCCGACCTGTGTTGTGGGGCCTGTCTGTTGTTAGGGTCTCCAGCCGACCTGTGTTTTTGGCCACTCTGTCACTAGGCTTCCCAGTCGAAAGGCTATCGCAGCCAACCTTGTGAGCCCCGTTTGGAGCCGGACGGGGAACCTGTCTGTAGGATCCTCTCACTGCAGCTGAGTAGTCCGTCTCGGTGTCTGCCGCAGGCGCCGACTGAGCCTGCACCCGAACCAGGCGTTCTTCCTGCTGGTGAACCAGCGAGCCATGCCGCTCGTCTCGGCCACGATCGCCGACGTCTACAGCCAGGAGCGCGACGACGACGGGTTCCTCTACATGGTGTATGCCTCGCAGGAGGTGTTCGGCTAGGCGGGCGGTGGCACTGGCTGTGGCTCTCCGACCAGCTGGGGACGCCGGGCGGAGCCAGAGCCGCAGCCCGGGTGGAAGTGAGCCGCTCGCGCCAGCTGTTAGGGTGGTCCCGACGCTGTGTTCACATTATGAATCCCTTTTGCGTGTGTGGGCGGCGTGAGTGGCCGGCTGGTAAATGTGTATTCCATGCGTTTCTGTCGGCCAAAGCGCTCATGAAGACCGCCGTAAGGTCTTGTGCTGGTCGAGGCGTGTAACGACACGGACGACATTGTGGATATCGGCTAGGGCGAAGGCCGGAAGGACGTGCTTCGATTAGAACTGGCATGGCTTGCGTCGAGACAGACCCGAGAGCCGTTAAGTGCCGACGTCGCCGCACCGGCTGGTCTGGGCGGTGAGGGGGAGCGGTTGCACGCGGCTGCCCCCTCCCAGCTCTGCTCCGATAGGGAGACGATGTTAGCCGTTGTAGTCAGCCTGACTCAGCAGGGGCCCTCTGAGAGCGGCAGCGTGCGCTTCGACACCATGACGGCTCGAAAAATTTCCGTCTAGGTCATTGAGACAGCGAAGCATTTGACCCCGTGTCTAGCCCCGTCTAAATTCTTTGTCTTATCAGCACTACCGAGTAGGTTGCACATAACAGGTTTTCGCTGTCACTTACGATAAGCCTGGCTCGTTTATTGTAAGTGGTGAATGTTTATGGTTGTGTTTAAGTCCGAGGCATTGGGATATGTGATGGCAATCGTGGTGCCCGCTCTACGGCGGTGAAGCTTTATGTAGGCCGTGCGTTTTTAATTGCTTTCTAACATTTTAGTGCGCACGGTGGCTTGTACACCCTGTTAGGGTTGTGTGTGTTCGATTATATTTAAGAGTGTGGATGCTTCTATGCATGCGTACCGAAGCTGGAATATGTTCGCGACCCACAGAGGTCCAAAATGCACGTATTATCAAAAGCTTGTAGTTCTATATGGAACTTACATGAAGTTCGTGTGCGTAGCACATCACCACGAGTGCGCTTCAGAACTCAGCGCAAGCCTGTAACGGATTGCAAAGTGGACAGGTGAAACTCACGCAAGAAGCAACCAGGGGTGGCCGAGTTTGCATGCGCCGGCCAGGGGACGAGAACCGATCTGAAACGGCACTTCTTGCTGATTGCTAAATCTTGCATATTGCTTTGTTACAAGCCGTCGCGCGCCGCCCATCGTTTAAAACGCAGTGGACTCGTCGCGGTGATATGTTACAAAAGGTACCAAATAATGCGCACGACATGGGTTCTTGTCCACATTATCACAATACGGTCACTTCAACGATTTCGTTCATGCACTGACACCCAGTGGGTAACGGATTTGGCAACGCTAAGATTTGCGTGGGATTTTTTGTTTAGTCATGGACATACAGTGCGCAGACGCCAAGTTTCAAATTGGAAGACATTAGCCTGGGCCACTTGGGAGGGCTTGCAGTGCTGCATCGTAGCACAGTACTGGGGGCCTGCCCGTAGGCGCGCTGTAGCGATCACGCCCGATCACGGCGCCTCCGTCATGACCGCCCATTCCTAGTCCGGGTCTGGGGTCGGCGGTCGGCGCCGACCGCTCTCCGTGATGCGGCAGGCCACGTGCTGGTGACGACGCCTGGCGCCACCCCACCGCTGGTGGCTTTCAGGACAGAGTATCGGAGCATCTGCCGGCACTGCCGACACCAGCACTGGTAGATACCCCGATGGTTATGCACAGCCAGATCCACTCGCTGCAGCTCGGGATGATTTTGTTTGCACGTGGACAACTAATGCGGCCGATGCATTGCCAGTTTTAAACCGTAATGCGCCTGGAAGGTGATGGTCACCTCTCCAGAACAAAAGCCAACTGGTACAGAGGATGCAAAAGTCGAACGTGCAAGGCAGGCGGTATAAGCTGTGAAGACGTTGTCAGTTCTTGCAATGTTTACTAGCCGGGTCTGAAGGCTCCCCTGAACTGTCGGATACTCGCACAGATGGCGCCACCAGAGGGACGTTTCTCAGGTGGCGGTGCGATCGTGGATGCTGGCAAAACGTGACCCAAGGCGAGGAAATACACTGTTGGAGTCACGGATCAAGGACCAAGCAGAGAGCATGCACGTAGCTTCCAAAACCGAAGCCCAGGGTCCAGGATCCGGATCTCTTTGCCAGAGGATCGTGCAGAATCCTCGATCCGCACTTGGGCGCTATGCACGCATCCTCCCAGACACGCCTTTGGCATACAGGTTCAGTACATTTTAACCCCACGTATTTTTGTCTTAGCACGCGCACGGGTGGCCAGTTGAATACGGCCCTCTCGGGTGGTTGGGAAGGACCATTTGCTTCTCCCCCATGATATCTTTAATAACTTAAGGGAGTTAGATGCACCAAATTCACAGGGCCGGTGAATACGCAAACACGCCTCTGTCATATTTTGAGATCTCTAGGTCACAACCGCCAGCCTAAACAAGGTCAGACTCCCGATTGGTGTCAGAAATGGGCAGGCGCCGAGCTCCAGCTGGGACCATGCCTGGGATATCGGCGTGGCCTGGGCGGGCGCTAGGCTCCAGCTGGGACCCTGCCTGGGATATCAGCGTGGTCTGGGCAGGCGCTGAGCTCCAGCTGGGACTCTGTCTGGCCCCATCTGCCAGAGGCGCTGTACATCAGCTGGGCACAAGCCCTTGTCAGGGACGGTCCCAGCAGGAAGCCTGCGCAGCAGAGCAGCGGACAGGATGGGCCCGACAAGGCGCGAGATGGTTTCTGACATGGCACCAGCTGGGCCCTGGCTATGCCAAGCCGGGCTGCCCAGGTGGGGCTTAACCTGGCTCAGGCCTAAAGTGCACGGTGCACCCCACGCCCCACAATGGTTGACTTATTCAAGATTTTGGCTCCAAGCACGGGTCATTTAAAGTGAGAAATTACCATATGGCACTATGCTGTTTCAGTTTGAACATTCATCTTGCCATAAACATTATTAGAAAACGGTTCTACCCCCATCCCCCCCAAATCATGTTCTTTACAATCTGAAAGGGGCATGGAATGCTGGAAAAGATGTTTAATGTGTCAACTGTGGAAGTACCCCGCTTTTTACCAAGATCAGATTGTATTGCATGAGCTTGACCAGTCATTTTCAGTGCATTTTTTAGAATAAACCTGGCATGTTGCTTTCCCATTCCGAAAATATTCGAAAATACCCGTTTCCGAACAACGACCATGTGCATTTGGGGCTGCATTTGCTAACAAAGGCATCGATTGCTGGGGTTCACAGTGACCTGGCTGGATTTCTTACCTGGTTTCCAACTACCGTTTTCTAATAAATGGGACCTCCAAAGGCGCAAAATTCATAGCGGCACAATTCTGGCCACATTAGAAATGTCCTAGCCATCTGTAGTACTCCTATTTTCACGCTCACCCCCCTCCACGTCCAGAATTCGTACCGCACCGCAATCAAGGGTTCGTGGCGTCTAATCTAGGCCAATATATAACTTTCTTTTATACGTTGCGGAATACATGTCTTTAAGATTCTATCAACTATTCCGATTAAACGAATTTCAAGTTAGCGAGGCTCAGGTAGCTTTCAAATATACTCGAGCTCTGAAAAGTAGACAACGCAAGGTCGTTAATGGTGGCATGACTGATGGCCTGCCACTGGCCAACGATTACGACACACGGTTTCAAGTCTTAAGGTCGCACTCTTATACCAAGATCAATTCCAGCTGACATATGGGATTGAGGACAAGCTGACTGTGGATTGAGCGAGAAATGCTGGTACAATGATGCTCAATAGAAACCGAGTTCCGTACATAAACGTCGCGCTGTAAAATGCCATTCTGTGTTTGAGTTTTTATGATGAACGATGGACCACAGGATCAAACTTAGTCCGCAGCTAAGCTGGTTATTAAAAGCCGTACAGCTCGGTTAACGCCAGCTCCCTTGACGCAGCAGAGACCCATTCGCCAAAGGGTTTGCAGTACGATCTGATGTCAATGGAGAGGTGCCATGCAGCCCCGTCACACGGACGAGCCCCCCCCCCCCCCCCTGCCCCCACCCGTTGCCGTGACTCTTGGATTTATTTGGAGACGGAAGCGTCGATGTGTTGTACGGCTGCCGTTGTAGTTGGCCGGGTTCTTCTCAAAAGTCGCTGAAAAAGGACAAATCAACAGCTATGGTAAGGGATGTCTGTTCGGTGAGTGACTGCCCTTCTGAGCTAACCCCAGCACTGTTTTTTTCTTTCCCTTGGTCCTTCGCAATAAACTGGTGGGGTCACCCTAACCCAACTCAGGGGCAACATGTGTTGAGTAATCGACTAAGAAAGCACGGACTAGAAGCTAAATCAAGCACCGACATGAGAGATCGGTTGAATTCACAATGCCACCACAAATAAAGGAAAAAATCGGTGTCCTTTCTCATACTGGGTGGCCACCACAAAGACAGCGAGCAAAATAAAACAAGGTCAACACATTTAATTACGCGTGCGAAACAGTTGTGTCGCAAAGAATCATCCGCAATGTGTTGTTATATCACTTTGATATTTTTGAGGGACGTATCCGTCAACAAACGGCCATGGATGGAACCGATATTATTCACCGCAATGCCGGACAAAGCTGTTTCGCGTATAGTTAAAATGCCCGGAGGCAGATTTCGCCTTCGTGGTCGGAGATGTCTGATTATTACAAACAAGAGTCTGCTTATCCATGTGCACCGGGAAATTACCGCACTGCAAGATATATGCACGTTGTGTTCTCCAAAAATAAATGATGGATTTAACCAGGCCCTTCCGAAATTAAAATAACACGCCATTGTGCATGAAAAACAATGAGACGCACAGACACGCCCGTTGCTCCTTGCCTTCCGCCGCCGCTACAGAACATTGACGCTCAGCCGGATGTAATGCCATCTTAGGGACAGTTCCCGGCCGGGACGCATGTCTGGTAAAGCCCCCATCGGCGCTTCGTCATCCGACACGCCACGCCAGAGACAGCAGACCGCTTATGTATAGCATCCAGTAATGTACCGTTGCAACGGCGGTGCT